AGACGTCAGGATGACGTTAGTGCCCGGCGAATGCGAATCGGGCAGAAACAAAGTTCCGCCCGACGATTCTTACGTAAGCGATTACAGATGATTTAGTTAATCAAATTAAGATCTGCAAAAGCCAGAAGAATCATAATAGAACAAAGTATATTTTGGTAAATTAAAATCACAAAAAGTTCACTAAATGAAGCGTAAAGTAAGTTTAAAAGTAGGAAAATAGAGTTCCGGCGTCGCAACGGTGATGCGTCGGCGATGCACCAGAATCCTGAGTGTTCGGGAGGATTGTCGTGCAGTGTCCACGGCCTCGAAGGCTCTCCTTGGGCAAAGACGACATGGGCAATCTCTAGATCTTCTTGCGAAGTCTAAAAATTAATGAAATGGGTCGCCGAGTCGTCTCTGGTGGCTGTCACCCGGCAGAGCAGAAAAACAGCGACTTTGCGGCTCTCCGGCGGCTGTCACCTGACAGAGAGGAGCTGGATGGAAGTAGGGCGCGTGTCAGGGAGCTTCATCCTCAAGTCTGCGCAGCAAGAGGAGGCTCTTCATCGCATCTAGTACGCTCTCAAGAGGTGGCGACTCGTCTCCCGGTGGATCATCCTCTTCCTGACGACGGCTTGTTCGTCGATCAATCGGAGATGATTTACTCGATGGATTCGCGATCCTTTTATTGCAAATTGTTCAACAATTTTAGTAGCAATGCTCCGTGAATCGCATTGACGAGATTTTCGCTGATGATCCAGTGATTCTCGTTGCTTAATCCTTCACTAGCAATCTGCAGAAAAGTCACGATAATGAGATAAAAATATATAAATTTTGACTCTGGGAGGATTCGAACCCGCGCCGGTTGTCCGCCCCTTCTGAGGAAGGTGTGACACGGGTTTAGTCCCACATCGATTGTGCGCCGATTTTTCGGGCGAATATATAGTAGTGCTAGCTTTCTAGGCAAAGTTCCTTCTCTCGTGTGTACGACCACTCCTTGCCCCACAGCCGGCTGGCCACTAGTGACGTGGAAGGGGAGTGGCGCACACGTGCCCCTATCGGTCCAAGCCGCTTGAGCCCCTGCTCACGGCTACTCTCTGACTGAGCTTCTAACCCGCTTGCGGGCCCAGCTGGCCGGCGGGTCCCCCCCATTTTGCAATATTTTAGTTTTATTTCTTTTTCTTCATTTATCTCAAAAGTAAGACTGTAAAAATCATATAAATTCGTATAAAATCACATAATTACCGAAAAAATCACATTAATCAACTGAAAACCACTTTTCACACTTTAACACAAATATAAGTCTATTTATCACGAGTTAAGGCTAAAACTATATTATTTACTAATTATTAACTCATGATAATGAAGACTTATCATTAAGCTGTCATCAATTGTTCATCTAGAAATACATCTTGTAAAGGTGCTACATTTATTCATGTATCACTCAATCTAGAAAGATGGTTAGTAACAACATTCTCGAAATCTTTTTTATCTTTTTTTTCTAAGTCAAATTCTTGCAATAATAAAATCCATCTTAATAAATGTGGCTTTGCATCTTTTTTATTTAACAAATATTTTAATACTGCATGATCAGTATAAATAATAATTTTAGCTCCAAAAATATGTGATCTAAACTTTTCTAACAAAAATACTACAGCTAACAACTCTTTTTCAGTCGTGGTATAATTTAATTAAGCATCGGATATAGTTTTACTAGCATATAAAATTACTATGGGTTTTGACTCTTTTTTTTGTCCTAGCATAGCTCCCACTGCATAATTCGATGCATCACACATTATTTCAAAGAGAAGGGACCAATTAGGAGCTTCTAAAATGGGTGCCTTAGTGAGTAATCTTTTTATTTCAAAAAAAGACAAAATATTTCTCATCAAAATTAAAAGGCACATCTTTAGATAATAACATGGTGAGAGATTTAGAAATTTTTGAAAAATCTTGAATAAAGTTTTTATAATAACCTGCATAACCCAAGAAAGATCTAATCTGTTTACTGAATTTGGAGGTTTTATTTTAGATATAATATCAATTTTTGCTCTATCCACCTCTAAACCCCTTTCACTCACATTATGACTCAACACAACTCCCTCTCTAACCATAAAATGTGATTTCTCCCAACACAAAATTATTTTTTTCTCTATGCACTTCTCAAGTACATGCTGTAAATGATTCAAGCATTCGTCAAATGATTCACCAAAAATAGAAAAATCGTCCATAAAAGTTTTCATGTATTTTTTAGTCATATCAGAAAAAAAAGACAACATACATCTTTGAAATGTGGCTAGCGCATTACACAAACCAAAAGGCATGCGTTTAAAAGCAAAAGTATCAAATGGACAAGTGAAAGTTGTTTTTTATTGATTTAAAGGGTTTATATAAATTTGATTATAACTAGAGTATCCATCTAGAAAATAAAAAAAGTTTTTCTAGAATTTGATCAATAAATGGTAGGGGAAAATGATCTTTTCTAGTAACTGAATTTAATTTTTTATAATCAATGCAAACCCTCCAACCGATAGTTAATCTTATTTGTATTTCATCTCCATTTTCATTTTTTATAACCGTGATCCCTGATTTTTTTGGCACCACTTGTGTAGGACTAACCCATTTGCTATTTGAAATAGGATAAATAATATCAGCAGCCAACAACTTTAATTTTTTTTTTTTATAATTTCCATCATGTTAGGATTTAATCTTTGTAGTGGTTCCCTATTAGTTCTATCCCCCTCTTGTAGATGTATACTATGCATGCATACACTCATATCAATGCCCTTAAGATCATCCATTTTCTACCCAATAGCCTTCTTATTTTTTCAAAGTATATCTAATAATTCTTCTTCCTGTTCATCATTCAAATCTGCTGCAATAATAATATGAATGAATTATTTTCCTCTAAAAACATATATTTTAAACTAGAGGGAAGAGGTTTCAACTTTAAATTTAGATGATCTTCCTCTTTCTTTTCTCCCAAATTTAGATGATCTTCCTCTTTCTTTTCTCCCAAATTTATATTCTCTATTTCCTCTAATTCTTTTAGCACACAATCATCAATAACATCTAGATCATCAAAATCATCTAGAAGATCTATAGTATGACAATCATATACTTGGAATTTCTAAAGATCATTTAATACCTCAAAAATTTTAATTTCTACTGATTGATCTCCACATGAAATTTTCACAATACTTATGAGAAAATCAATATTCATCTTTGTTGTATGAAAAAATGGTCTCCCTAGGATGATTAGTGTATCATAAAATTGTCCATTAAAATCCATTTCTAGCACTACAAAATCAGCTGGAAATTTACACCTTTTAACTATCACTATCACATTTTCTAAAATACCTTTAAGATATTTTATGGATCTATCAGTAATTTTAAGGTAATGGTAGAAGGTTTAAGATCAACAATATTAAATTTATCACAAATACTTACAGGTAATAAATTAATACTAGCACTGGTGTCAAGTAATGCATTATGAAAAATAGATCCACCAATATCACATGAAATTAAAGGGGCACTAGTATCTCTCAATTTATATGGTAATTGATTTAATAATAAAGCACTAGCATGCATAGATAATTTTTCTACTCTAGGTGGTTTTTTTGGTATACACATTTCTTTCAAAACTCTAGCATATTTAGGAATATGTTCAACAATGACAGTAAGTAAAGGAAGACTAATTCGCACAACTTGTAAAATTTTCTTTATTTCTTAATTGTGTTCATTTTTATTTCTTTGTCTAGGCTCTAGAGCTTTAGGAAATGGAATGGTTGTCCTCTCTTTCACAATTTCCTTGATAAAATCTATAAAATCCTCTTCTACTCATATTTTATTTTGTTTTGGGCTGTCCACGTTTTCCTTCTAATGTTTGGGGATAAAATATTAGGTAAAATCTTCTCACTCTTTAATAAATTCACTGTCCTAACATTTTCATTTCGTGGATTTTTCCCTAGATTCATGCTACTAGACTCTCCTTGTTGAAATCCTATTGTTGGGCGGTTCCTTGGATTTTCTATGGGCTTAGGTAGTTATCCCTCTTCTCTCTTATTCCCAAGAGCCTCTATAATTTGTTTCTGCTACAACATCATTTGATTCATAGTTTGTTGCATCATTTGGCATATTTGCTGCATCATTTCCATAGCATCAGGTTGGATTTGAGAGGGCTAATTTTTCTAAAATTTATTTTCTTATTTCGGACAAAATTCAGAGTTTGAATTAGGTTTAGGAGCTTTTGGATTTTGAATATTATTTGGGTCTCTCTATGAAAAATTATTTCTCCAATTAAGATTATAAGAATTTAAAAAAGGCTCCCTATTTCTATTAAAATCGTGAGCTACTTGCACTTGTTCTTGCATAAGGTGAAATGATTAATCTAAATTATAGCATTAAAATTAAGAATAATCATTTTCACCATACATAGGACATGTACTATTTGAATTAAATTGAGGGTTAAGAGGTGACTTGACTTAATTTTTGTATAGTAAATCACGCAAATTTAAAATTTATAAAACTAGAAAATACAAATTTTTGGATATTTAGAAGTATTTATGAACAAATATATCAATTATAATTCAATAAAACTTTCAAAAATAGTAGTAATTTTCCAGGTCCATCAAAGGATGTAATATAATATCTGATAATTATTCAGAATTTTTCTCAAAGAATACTATTTTCTATGAATTTTATACTAGTAAATGAAAAGAAAATATATTTAAAATTCTCGAAAAAGGGAAATAAGGGTGTGGACGTTAGGATGACGTCAGCGCCCGACGAATGCAAATCAGGTGAAAATAGAGTTTTGCTCGATGATTCTTACGTAAGCGATTACAAATGATTTAATTGATCAAATTAAGATCTGTAAAAGCCAGAAGAATCGTAATTGAACGAAGTATATTTTGGTAAATTAAAATCAACAAATTATCACTAATGAAATGAAAAGTAAGTTGAAAGCAAGAAAACAGAGTTCCGACGTCGCGGCGGCGATATGTCGGCGATGCACCAGAATCCTAAGCATTCGGGAGGATTGTCGTCCAGTATCCACGGCCTCGAAGGCTCTCCTTGGACAAAGACAACGTGGGCAATCTCTAGATCTCCTTACAAAGTCTAGAGATCAATTAAATGAGTCGTTGAATCATCTCCGGCGGTTATCACTCGGTTGAGCGAAAAAACAATGACTTTGCGGCTCTCCGGTGGCTGTCACCCGACAAAGAGGAGCTAAATGGAGGTGGGGCGTGATAAATCTTTATTATCATGAGTTAATAATTAGTAAATAATATATTTTTAGCCTTAACTCATGATAAATAGACTTATATTTATGTTAAAGTGTGAAAAGTGGTTTTTAATTAATTAACTGAATTTTTGGGTAATTATGTGATTTTATACGATTTTTACAATCTTACTTTTGAGATAAATGAAAGAAAAGAAATTAAAATAAAAATAAAGCAAAATGAGGGGGACTTGCTGGCCAGCCGGGGCCGCAAGTGGGTCGGAAGTGCAGTCGAGGAGTAGCTGTGAGTAGGGGCTCGAGCAGCTTGGACCGATAGGGGCACGTGTGCGCCACCCTCCTTCCACATCACCGGTGGCCAGCCGGTTGTCGCGCAAGGAGTGGTCGTACACATGCGAGAAAGGGACTTGATCGGAAATATAATATTACTATATATTCACTAGAAATTTCGGCACAACTAATGTGGGACTAAACCCGAGTCACACCCTCCCCAAAAAAGGCGGGCAACCGGCGTGGGTTCGAATCCTCCCAAAGCCAAAATTCATATTTTTTATCTGATTATCGCGACTTTCTTGTAGATCGTCGGTGAACGATTAAGCAACCAGAATCGTTGGATCATCAGTGAAAATCTTGTCAACGCGATTCGTAGAGTATTGTTACTAAAATTACTGAACAATTCGCGATAAAAGGATTGCGAATCCATTGAGTAAAGCATCTCCGATTGATCAACGAACAAGCCGTCATCAAGAAGAGGATGATCCGCTGGGAGACGAGTCGCCACCTCCTGAGAGCATATCAGATGCGATGAAGAGCCTCCTCTTGCTGCACGGACCTGAGGATGAAGCTCGTCGGGTGACAGCCGCCGGAGAGCCACAAAGTCACTGTTTTTCCACTCCGCCGGGTGACAGCCGCTGGAGACGACTCGACGACCCATTTCATTAATCTCTAGACTTCGCGAGAAGATCTAGAGATTGCCCACATCGTCTTTGTCCAAGGAGAGCCTTCAAGGCCATGGACACTGCACGACGATCCTCCCGAACACTCAGGATTCCGGTGCATCGCCGACGCATCGCCGTCGCGATGCCGGAACTCTATTTTCCTACTTTCAATTTAATTTACGCTTCATTTAGTGATACTTTGTGTGATTTTAATTTAGCAAAATATACTTCGTTCTATTACGATTCTTTCGGCTTTTATAAATCTTAATTTGATCAATTAAATCGTCTGTAATCGCTTACGTAAGAATCGTCAGGACGCTGACGTCACCCTAACGTCCGCACCCTTGTTTCTTTTTTTCGTCAATTTTAAATATATTTCCTTTTCATTTCTTAGTATAAAATTCATAGAAAACAGTATTCTTTGAGGCAAATTCTGAATAATTACCAGATATTATATTACATCCTTGTGATCGACCTGGAAAATTACTGTTATTTTTTTGGAAGTTTTATTGAATTATAATTGATATATTTGTTCAAAAAAATCATATTTTCTAGTTTTATAAATTTAAGATTTGCATGATTTAATTTGAAACAACTAAGTCACATCAAATTTTGGCGCCGTTGGCAGGGATGTATTGCATAATATTTAGTATTTTTCTGCTTTTCTCTTAGAGTACACAAAAAAAAAATTAAGATTTGCTTTTTTTGGTTCTTACCGATTTTTTTTAGAAAAAGGGAATGAAAAGAAGCAAGGCAAGGACTAGAGCATACTAAAGGAGGGTAACAATTACTAAAATTTTCCCTCAAATTTATTGATTTTTTATGCATGGTAGAAGATCCTTGTATCCAAGGCTAGAAAATCCTTTGATATTATTTCATTCAAAACTAAAAATCCAAAAGAAAAATTAATTTTGATGAATCCTGAAGGAAGTACAGGTCAAACTGAGAGCAATCCTATGGCCATGAAAAATCATTATATCCCTTATTCATTTCAAAAAGCATCCAATATTAGAGTCCCATTAACACCCATTGTTAAATTCGAAATAAATCTAGGAATTTTTCAAATGCTTCCTAATTTTCATGGATTGCCTTTAGAGGAACCTCATCAGCACTTAGAAAAATTTCATATGGTCTGTGATTTAGTTAATTTCCCTCAAGTTACACTGTAAATTATTAAGATGAAATTATTTCCTCATACACTTAGGGATAAAGCTAGTCATTGGCTATCCATATTAGATAGAGAATTAACTAGTTGAGAAGACATAGAATAGGCCTTTCTTCGAAAATTTTATCCCTTAGGAAAAACTCAAAATATGAGAAAACATATATGAAATTTTTCTCAAAGATCAGGAGAAACTTTGCATGAGACATGGGAAAAATTCAAAGATTTACTTAGAATTGCATCATGATGATGATTCTAAATTTAAAAATGAGGTTAATCAGATTAATCAAAGATTAGAAAAACTTGATTTACCTATTGACAATATTAGAAAGTCTCTTAACCATCAATTTAATTCAAATAGTACACATCCTATGTATGGTGAAAATGATCATTTCGAATTTCAATATCATCTTAGGCAAAAACAAGTGCAAGTATCCCATGATTTTAGAAAAAATAGAGAATATTTTTCTAATTCTTATAATCCTAATTGGGGAATAATTTTTCGTGGAGAAACCCAAATAATATTCAAAATCCAGAAGCACTTAGATCCAATTCAAACTCTAAATTTTGTGCAAAATAAGAAAACAGATTTTAGAAAAATCAGCCCTCTCGAACCCAACCTGATACTATAGAAATGATGCAGCAAATGAGCCAAATAATGTAACAAACTATGAATCAAATGATGCTACACCAGAAACAAATTATAGAGGCTCTTGGGAATAGGAGAGAAGAGGGACAGCCACCTAGTCAGCCCATAGAAAATTCAAGAAACTGTCTAATAATAGGATTTCAGCAAGGAGAGTCTAGCTGGATAAATTTAGAAAAAAACCCAAGAAATAAAAATGATAGGACAATGAATACATTGAGTGAGAATATTTTACCTGATCCTTTTTTTCAATTATTAGAAGAAATCGATGAGCAATTAGAAGTAAATGAGAATATTAACGCTGAAAATATAGTAACAGAAAATTTGAATAAAATCATTTATTACTCACAATTGATGTATGAATATAGTGAGGATGGTGAGGAGAAAGAGCCCTTAGATGAAGAAACAACAGCTGATCATGGAAAAATCATCCAAATTTTAGTAGAAGGGAGTAAGGACAGAAATGAAGAAAAACATATTTCAGGTGAGGAAAAATCAATTCATTTGAGAGATGTAGGAGATGAAATTAATAAATCTAATCATAATTTTACAGCCATGGATGTTGATAGTGAGGATGATGATGTATATCATATACCGAAATTAAAAGATAGCTCCTGGGAAGACGAAGAATTTGATGAGTTGAGAAACAAAAAGCTAGAAAAAGAGTTGATTCAACTAATAGGGAGAAACAAAAATAATGGATATGAATATAGAGATAATTTTGAAGGAGAAAATTTGAATTTTACTGAATTCATTAGATCTGAGATTAAAGAAGACAATCCTTCCATCCTTCAAACCCCACAGCCTATTAGAATTATTTCTAGCTTGAAATATTTCACTCCTCGCAAATTGAACAAATATGTATGGAAGATAAAATGGAGCAGGGGAAGATTATGCAAATAAAAGAAGACATTAAGAAATGGGTGAGTGGAAGAATTAGAGATATCAATTTAGATGAAAAAATTATAGATTGGGTAAGAGCTAATTTGAAAATTATATGGCCTGATCACATTTTATGGTCTATTAATAGAAAGTATTTATTAATGAATGAGAGCCTTACAAAACAAGATAGAAATGAGGAAAGATTCTTTTCAAAATGGAAATTTTATTTTTGGGAAAATTTTGTTAATTTCCATTTTATTTTGGCTGAAAGTATGTCAAGATATATATATGAAGTATATGAATTTATGCTAAATCTGAAAAAGAATATCATGAAACTTACCTTGGGATACAAATATATTTTGATGGCCATAGATCATCTTATATGATCTAAGAGCTGTCCAATTGAAGACATTAAATTCAGCATTGCATGGGAGGCAACCCATGGTTTTTATTTCATTCTGTTTGATTTTTTCTCAGCTCTGTTTTTCTTAGAATTTCGCAATACTTGTTTTTGTATTTATTTTTTCGAAAAAGTGCAGGAGGAGGAGTGTAAGACAAAGTGGAAAATTAACAACGAGGTTGAGGTGATGTCTTTCTGAGCTTTATCATTTATGACAATATTTTTAATGCTTAACTTTGCCTATATGCATGCTTCACTTGAAAATTATATTTTCTACATATTCTGTTTCGATTTTTCTGTGTCATTGAGGAGAATGTCATTTCTAAGTTGGGGGGTGAAGTATTCATTATTAATTTATGCTGTAGGACGATTAAGAACTTTTGTTTGCATTAGAACAGTGATAAGTCTTCATTATCATGAGTTAATAATTAGTAAATAATACAGTTTTAGCCTTAACTCGTGATAAATAGACTTATATTTGTGTTAAAGTGTGAAAAGTGGTTTTCAATTGATTAATGTGATATTTTGGGTAATTATGTGATTTTATACGAATTTATATGATATTTACAGTCTTACTTTTGAGATAAATGAAGAAAAAGAAATAAAACTAAAATATTGCAAAATGGGGGGGACCCGCCGGCCAGCTGGGCCCACAAGCGGGTCGGAAGCTCAATTGGGGAGTAGCCGCGAGCAGGGGCTCGAGCGGCTTGGACTGATAGGGGCACGTGTGCGCCACTCCCTTTCCACGTCACCGGTGGCTAGCCGGCTGTGGGGCAAGGAGTGGTCGTACATGCAATGCTCAGGTGACGTGACTTAGTCGTTGTATATTAAATCACGCAAATATAAAATTTATAAAACAAGAAAATACGAATTTTCGTATATTTAGAAGTATTTCTAAATAAATATATCAATTATGATTCAATAAAACTTCCAAAAATAGCGGTAATTTCCCAGGTCGATCACAGGGATGTAATATAATATTTTGTAATTATTCAGATTTTTTCTCAATGAATACGATTTTCTATGAATTTTATACTAGAAAATGAAAAGGAAATATATTTAAAATTCACGAAAAAAAAGGAAATAAGGGTGCGGACGTCAGGATGACGTCAGCGCCCGGCGAACGCGAATCAGGCGGAAACAGAGTTCCACCCGGTGATTCTTACGTAAGCGATTACAGACGATTTAATTAATCAAATTAAGATCTGTAAAAGCCGGAAGAATCGTAATAGAACAAAGTATATTTTGGTAAATTAAAATCATAAAAACTATCACTAAATGAAGCGTAAAGTAAGTTGAAAGCAGGAAAACAGAGTTCCGGCGTCGCGACGACGATGCGTCGGCGATGCACCGGATTCCTAAGCGTTCGGGAGGATCGTTGTGTAGTGTCCACGGCCTCGAAGGCTCTCCTTGGACAAAGACGACGTGGGCAATCTCTAGATCTTCTCGCGAAGTCTAGAGATCAATGAAATGGGTCGCGGAGTCGTCTCCGGCGGCTGTCACCCGGCGGAGCGGAAAAACGGCGACTTTGCGGCTCTCCGGCGGCTGTCACCCGACGGAGAGGAGCTGGATGGAGGTGGGGCGCGTGTCAGGGAGCTTCATCCTCAGGTCCGCGCAGCAAGAGGAGGCTCTTCATCGCATCTGGTACGCTCTCAGGAGGTGGCGACTCGTCTCCCGGCAGATCGTCCTCTTCCCGACGACGGCTTGTTCGTCGATCAATCGGAGATGATTTACTCGATGGATTCGCGATCCTTTTATCGCGAATCGTTCAGCAATTTTAGTAGCAATGCTCCGCGAATCGCATTGACGAGATTTTCGCCGATGATCCAGCGATTCTGGTTGCTTAATCCTTCACCAGCGATCTGCAGGAAAGTCGCGATAATCAGATAAAAATATATGAATTTGGACTCTAGGAGGATTCGAACCCGCGCCGGTTGTCCGCCCCTTCTGAGGAAGGTGTGACACGGGTTTAGTCCCACATCGGTTGTGCGCCAATTTTTCAGGCAAATATATAGTAATGTTAGCTTTTTAAGCAAAGTCTCTTCTCTCGCGTGTACGACCACTCCTTGCCCCACAGCCGGCTGGCCACCGGTGACGTGGAAGGGGAGTGGCGCACACGTGCCCCTATCGGTCCAAGCCGCTCGAGCCCTTGCTCGCGGCTACTCCCCGACTGAGCTTCCGACCTGCTTGCGGGCCCGGCTGGCCGGCAGGTCTCCCCCATTTTGCAATATTTTAGTTTTATTTCTTGTTCTTCATTTATCTCAAAAGTAAGATTGTAAAAATCATAGAAATTCATATAAAATCACATAATTACCAAAAAAATCACATTAATCAACTGAAAACCAATTTTCACACTTTAACACAAATATAAGTCTATTTATCACGAGTTAAGGCTAAAACTATATTATTTACTTATTATTAACTCATGATAATGAAGACTTATCATCAGGATTCCGGTGCATCGCCGACGCATCGCCGTCGCGACGCCGGAACTCTATTTTCCTGCTTTCAAACTTACTTTACGCTTCATTTAGTGATAGTTTTTGTGATTTTAATTTACCAAAATATACTTTGTTATATTACGATTCTTCCGACTTTTACAGATCTTAATTTGATTAACTAAATCGTCTGTAATCGCTTTCGTAAGAATCACCGAGCAAAACTCTGTTTCCGCCCGATTCACGTTCGTCGGGTGCTGACATCATCCTGACGTCTGCACCCTTATTTTCTTCTTTTTTGTGAATTTTAAATATATTTCCTTTTCATTTCCTAGTATAAAATTCATATAAAATAGTATTCATTGAGAAAAATTCTGAGTAATTATCAGATATTATATTACATCCCTGTGATCGACTTGGAAAATTACCACTATTTTTGGAAGTTTAATTGAATTATAATTGATATATTTTTTCAGAAATACTTCTAAATATCTGAAAAGTCGTATTTTCTAGTTTTATAAATTTTATATTTGCGTGATTTAATATACAACGACTAAGTCACATCAAACAGCAACTGAAAAAATAAAAAAAATAAAAAAAATAAAATTCGAAAAACTACAACATCTATTTTCTGGTTTTCTGTCAGGAACAATAGACTGTTAAAAATAGCAGACAAAAAACAGCCTGAAATTTGAAATTCTAGAGACCTTTTTCTCACATTTCAACCCCCTAGACATATATTACTGAAATTTGAAATTACAGCTATAAAGAGGATAGTTTTGATTTATTTTTGACAAATTTATTGTGTTAAAAATAGAACTGAAAATAGAAAATAGAACTGTCAGAACTATCTAATTTAAAAATTTATTACATTATATTACAGGCATGAAAAATTAAATCAATTAGATTGATTGATACCAAAAGATACTAGGAAGATTATTATTGAGTCAAAAGAATGATCTAGTAGCATGAAATGTTAGAATACTCCTTGGATACATGATAGATAACATGAATTTGATTTTACAAATTTTCACTTCATGATCTTGATGGATAGTATTTACTTGATGTGAAAATTTAAGTTTAATAGAGATTTTTGCACCAAGATCTATAGGACTTGTGAGGAGAAATCACTTATTTCGAAAAAAAAAGAGAGAGCAATGTGAAAAATCTAGAAACGAAGAGTACACATGGAGGGTGTGAGACATCATTCTCATTGTTGAAAATTATGTATAGAAAAATACTTGCTGCAAAATAAGTGGATAAAGTGAAAGCCCTGAAAATTAAGAGTACACATGGAGGGTGTAAGACATTATTCTCATTGTGAAAATTTGTCTACAGGAAAAGCTACTTATCCACTATATATATCAAAAAAAATAAAAAGAAGGAAGAAATATAGTGCAAACTTCAAAAATCAAGCCATGGAAAAAGGGAAATGTAGGATCAATATTATTCTTGGATGATTATTGATAATTGGAACATCTTGTAAATATATCTATGAGTGAAGAAGTGATAAAGATGTGATTAGAAGAAGTGAATTCTAGATTGTTATTTCAAGGAGTGCTTAAACATTTAAGTGCTTGACATCATTCTTAAATACTTCATATAAGAGTCCAAAGTATCTAAAGGTGCATCATTTCTAATTGTATTTTTTTTTATGTATTGGAATATGATGTTTGAGATTTGTAAATTTTTATTTTCATAATTGCATTGCTAAGGGACTAGCAATGATTTAAGTTGGGGGGTGTGATAAGTCTTCATTATCATGAGTTAATAATTAGTAAATAATATAGTTTTAGCCTTAACTCATGATAAATAGACTTATATTTGTGTTAAAGTGTGAAAGTGGTTTTCAGTTGATTAATGTGAATTTTTGGGTAATTATGTGATTTTCTATGATTTTTACAGTCTTACTTTTTAGATAAATAAAGGAAAAGAAATAAAAATAAAAATAAAGCAAAATGAGGGGGACCCGCTAGGCCCACAAGCGGGTCAGAAGCGCAATCGGGGAGAAGCCGCGAGCAAGGGCTCGAGCGACTTGGACCGATAGGGGCACGTGTGCGCCACTCCCCTTCCACATCACTAGTGGCCAGCCGGCTATGGGGCAAGGAGTGGTCATACACGCGCGAAAAAGGGACTTGCCTTCAAATGTAACATTACTTTATATTTGCCCAAACATTCGGCGCACAAGCGATGTGGGACTAAACCCGTGTCACCTTCCCTAGAAAGGGGTGGGGTAACCAACACGAGTTCGAATCCTCCTAGAGCCAAAACTCATATTTTTTTTAACTGATTATCGCGACTTTTCTGCAGATTGCCGGTGAAGGATTAAGCAACCAGAATTGTTGGATCATCAGCAAAAATCTTGTCAACGCGATTCGTGGAGCATTGTTACTAAAATTTCTGAACGATTCATGATAAAAGGATCGTGAATCCATCGAGTAAAGCATCTACGATTGATCGACTAATAAGTCTTCATTATCATGAGTTAATAATTAGTAAATAATATAGTTTTAGCCTTAAATCATGATAAATAGACTTATATTTGTGTTAAAGTGTGAAAAGTGGTTTTCAGTTGATTAATGTGATTTTTTTGGGTAATTATGTGATTTTATACGAATTTATATGATTTTTACAGTTTTACTTTTGAGATAAATGAAGAAAAAGAAATAAAACTAAAATATTACAAAATGGGGTGACCCGCTGGCCAGCCGGGCCCGCAAGTAGGTCGGAAGCGTAGTCGAGGAGTAGCCGTGAGCAGGGACTTGAGTGGCTTGAACCGATGATGTGGGCACGTGTGCGCCACTCCCCTTCCACGTCACTGGTGGCCAGCCGACTGTGGGGCAAGGAGTGATCGTACACATGTGCTTGATCGGGAATGTAACATTACTATATATTCGCCCAAAAAATCGGTGCACAGCCGATGTGGGACTAAACCCGCGTCACACCTTCCTCAGAAGGGGCAAACAACCGGCGTGGGTTCGAGTCCTTCCAGAGTCAAAAGTCATATATTTTTATCTGATTATCGCGACTTTCCTGTAGATCGCCGGTGAAGGATTAAGCAACCAGAATCATTGGATCATCAGTGAAAATCTTGTCAACGCGATTCGTAGAGCATTGCTACTAAAATTACTAAACAATTCGCAATAAAAGGATCGCGAATCCATCGAGTAAATCATCTCCAATTGATCGACGAACAAGCCGTCATCAGGAAGAGGACGATCCGCCAGGAGACGAGTTGCCACCTCCTGAGAGCATACCAGATGCGATGAAGAGCCTCCTCTTGTTGTGCAGACCTGAGGATGAAGTTCCCTAACACGCGCCCCACCTCCATCCAGCTACTCTTTGTCGGGTGACAGCCGCCGGAGAGCCGCAAAGTCGCCATTTTTCCGCTCCGCTAGGTGACAGCAGCCGGAGATGATTTGACGATCCATTTCATTGATCTCTAGACTTCGAAAGGAAATCTAGAGATTGCCCACGTCATCTTTGTCCAAGGAGAGCCTTCGAGGCCATGGACACTGCACGACGATCCTCCCGAACGCTTAGGATTCCGGTGCAACGCTGACGCATCGCCGTCGCGACGCCGGAACTCTGTTTTCCTACTTTCAACTTACTTTACACTTCATTTAGTGATACTTTGTGTGATTTTAATTTATCAAAATATATTTCGTTCAATTACGATTCTTCCTGCTTTTACAGATCTTAATTTGATTAATTAAATCGTCTATAATCGCTTACGTAAGAATCACTAAGCAGAACTCTATTTCCGCTCGATTCTCATTCGCTGGGCGATGATGTCATCCTGATGTCTGCAGCCTTATTTCCTTTTTTCGTGAATTTTAAATATATTTCCTTTTGATTTCCTAGTATAAAATTTATAGAAAATCGTATTCATGGAGAAAAAATCTAAATAATTACCAAATATTATATTACATCCTTGTGATCGACCTGGAAAATTACTGCTATTTTTAAATGAATTATAATTGATATATTTGTTCATAAATACTTCTAAATATCTGAAAATTCATTTTTCTAGTTTTATAAATTTTAGATTTGCATGATTTAATATACAACGACTGAGTCCCGTCATCGACAAACAAGCCGTTGTCAGGAAGTGGACGATCCATTGGGAGACGAGTCGCCACCTCCTAAGAGCATACTAGATGTGATGAAGAGCCTCGTCTTGCTGTGTGGACCTAAAGATGAAGCTCCCTAACACGCGCCCCACCTTCGTTCAGCTCCTCTTTGTTGGGTGACAGCTGTCGGAGAGCCGCAAAGTCGTTGTTTTTCCGCTCCGTTGGGTGACAGCCATCGGAGACGATTCGATGACTCATTTCATTGATCTCTAGACTTTGAAAAGAGATCTAGATATTGCCCACATCATCTTTGTCCAAGGAGAGCCGTCAAGGCCGTGGATACTGCATGACGATCCTCCCGAACGCTTAGGATTCCGATGCATCACCGACGCATCGCCGCCGCGACGCTAGAACTCTATTTTCTTGCTTTCAACTTACTTTATGCTTCATTTTGTGATAATTTGTGTGATTTTAACTCACCAAAATATACTTCGTTCAATTACAATTCTTCCGTCTTTTACAAATCTTAATTTGATCAATTTAATCGTTTGTAATCACTTATGTAAGAATCGTCGAGTGGAAATCACTTATGTGTGGTTTCCAACTAAGTTTTCTAGAATTTGATCAATAAATGGTAGGGGAAAATGATCTTTTCTAGTAACTGAATTTAATTTTTTATAATCAATGTAAACCCTCCAACCGGTAGTTAATCTTGTTTGTATTTCATCCCCATTTTCGTTTTTTATAACTATGATCCCTGATTTTTTTGGCACCACTTGTGTAGGACTAACCCATTTGCTATCTGAAATAGGATAAATAATATCAGCAGCCAGCCACTTTAATTTTATTTTTTTTACAATTTCCATCATGTTAGGATTTAATCTTCGTTGTGGTTCCCTGCTAGTTCTAGCCCCCTCCTCTAGATATATATTATGCATGCATACACTCATATCAACGCCCCTTAGATTGTCCATTTTTCAGCCCATAGCCTTCTTATTTTTTCGAAGTACATCTAATAATTCTTCTTCCTATTCATCACTCAAATCAGTTGCAATAATAATAGGAAATGAATTATTTTCCTCCAAAAACATATATTTTAAACTAGAGGGAAGAAGTTTCAACTCTAAATTCAGATGATCTTCCTCTTTCTTTTCTCCCAAATTTATATTCTCTATTTTCTCTAATTCTTCCAGCACATAGTCATCAATAACATCTGGATCATCAAAATCATCTAGAAGATCTATGGTATGACAATCATATACTTGTGATTTCTTAAGATCATTTGGTACCTCAAAAATTTTAATTTCTATTGATTGATCTCCACATTAAATTTTCACAATACCTATGGGAAAATCAATATTCATCTTTGCTATATGCAAAAATGGTCTCCCTAGGATGATTGGTGTATCATAAAACTGTCCATTAAAATCCATTTCTAGCACTACAAAATCAGCTGGAAATTGACATCCTTTAACTGTCACTATCACATTTTCTAAAATACCTTTAGGATGTTTCATGAATCTATTAGCAATTTTAAGGTAACAGTAGAAGGTTTAAGATCAGAAATATTAAATTTATCACAAATACTTGCAGATAATAAATTAATACTAGCACCGGTGTCATGTAATGTATTCTGAAAAATAGATCCACCAATATCACATGAAATTAAAGGTGCACCTGTATCTCTCAATTTATATGGTAATTGATTTAATAATAAAGCACTGACATGCATAGATAATTTTTCTACTCTAGGTCCCCTTTTTGGTGTACACATTTCTTTCAAAACTCTAGCATATTCAGGAATATGTTCAATGGCAGTGAGTAAAGGAAGACTAATTTACACATCTTGTAAAATTTTCTTTATTTCTTCATTGTGTTCCTTTTTCTTTCTTTATCTAGGCTCTAGAGCTTTAGGAAATAGAATGGTTGTCCTCTCTTTCGAAACTTTCTTGGTAGAATCTATAAAATCCTCTTCTACTCCTATTTGATTTTGTTTTGGGTTGTTCACGTTTTCTTTTTCTTCTAATGTTTAGAGATAAGGATCAGGTAAGATCTTACTACTCCTTAATGCATTCACTATCTTAACATTTTCATTTTGTAGGTTTTTTCCTAGATTCATGCTACTAGGCTCCCCTTGCTGAAATTCTATTGTTGAGCGGTTCCCTAGATTTTCTATGAGCTGACTAGGTAGTTGTCCCTCTTTTCTCTTATTCCCAAGAGCCTCTATAATTTATTTCTAGTGCAGCATCATTTGATTCATAGTTTGTTGCATCATTTCCATAGTATCAGGTTGGGTTTGAGAGGGCTGATTTTTCTGAAATCTATTTTCTTGTTTTGGACGAAATTTAGAGTTTGAATTGGGTCTAAGTGCTTCTGAATTTTGAATATTATTTGGGTCTCTCCACGAAAAATTATTCCTCCAATTAGGATTATAAATATTTGAAAAAGTTTCCCTATTTCTATTAAAACCGTGAGCTATTGTACTTGTTCTTGCATAGGGTGAAATGATTGATCTAAATTATAGCATTAAAATTCAGAATAATTATTTTCACCATACATAGAACATGTACTATTTGAATTAAATTGATGGTTAAGAGGCTTTCTAATATTGTCAATAAGTAAATCAAGTTTTTCTAATCTTTGATTAATTTGATTAACCTCATTTCTAAATTTAGAATCATCATCATGATGCAATTCATAAATTCCTCTCTTCTTATCCCTATCATATAATTCAAAAGAGGCTTGATCTCTAGAATTTTCACTTAAATTCTCATAAAGATTGTAAATCTCATCAGGGGTTTTCTCCATAAAAGCTCATCTACATATAGAATCAACCATATTTCTATGTTGTTCTAATAATCCATCATAAAAAATTCTATTGAGCTGCCACTTGGGTATAGCATGATGAGGACACTTTCTAAGTAAATCTTTGAATTTTTCCTATGTTTCATGTAAAGTTTCTTCTAATCTTTGAGAAAAACTCCATATATATTTTCTCATATTTTGAGTTTTTTCTAAGGGATAAAATTTTCGAAGAAAGTCCTATTCCATATCTTTCTAGCTAGTTAATTCTCTATCTAATGTGGATAGCCAATGGCTAGCTTTGTCCCTAAGTGTATGAGGAAATAATTTCATCTTAATAATTTCCAGTGTAAATTGAGGGAGATTAACTAAATCACAGACCATATGAAATTTTTCTAAGTGCTATGAGGTTCCTCTAAAGGCAATCCATGAAAATTAGGGAGCATTTGAAAAATTCTTGGATTTATTTCGAATTTAACAGTGGGTGCTAATGGGACTCTAATATTGAATGCTCTTTGAAATGAATCAGGGATATAATGATTTTTCATGGCCATAGGATTGTTCTCAATTTGACCTGTACTTCCTTCAAGATCCATCAAAATTAATTTTTCTTTTGAATTTTTAGTTTTGAATGAAATAATGAAAGGATTTTCTAGCCTTGGATGCAAGGATCTTCTACCATGCATAAAAAATCAAAAAATTTGAGGGAAAAGTTTAGTAATTGTTACCCTCCTTCAGTACAGTCCTTGCCTTGCTTCTCTTCGTTCCCTTTTTCTAAAAAAAGTAATTTGGCAAGAAAAAAATAAAACAAGAGTTAATTTTTTTTTTTGTACTCTAAGAGAAAATTAGAAAAATACTAAATATTATGCAATACATCCCCGGCAACGGTGCCAAAATTTGATGTGACTTAGTCGTTGTATAGTAAATCACGCAAATTTAAAATTTATAAAAGTAGAAAATACGAAATTTTGGATATTTAGGAGTATTTATGAAAAAATATATCAGTTATAATTCAATAAAACTTCCAAAAATAGCGATAATTTTCCAGGTCCATCACAAGGATGCAATATAATATCTGGTAATTATTCAGAATTTTTCTCAAAGAATACTATTTTCTATGAATTTTATACTAGTAAATAAAAAGGAAATATATTTAAAATTCTCAAAAAAGGGAAATAAGGGTGCAGACGTCAGGATGATGTCAACGTTCGGTGAACTCGAATCGGGTGGAAATAGAGTTTCACTCGGTGATTCTTATGTGAGCGATTACAGACGATTTAATTGATCAAATTATGATCTGTAAAAGCCGAAAGAATCGTAATTGAACGAAGTATATTTTGGTAAATTAAAATCAAAAAATTAACACTAAATGAAATGTAAAGTAAGTTGAAAGCAGGAAAACAGTGTTCCAACGTCGCGGCGGCGATACGTCGGCAATGCACTGGAATCCTAAGCATTCGGGAGGATTGTCGTGTAGTGTCCATGGCCTCGAAGGCTCTCCTTGGACAAAGACGACATGGGCAATCTCTAGATCTCCTTGCAAAGTCTAGATCAATGAAATGGGTCGTCAAATCGTCTCCGGTGGCTGTCACTTGGCGGAGTAGAAAAATGGCGACTTTGCGGCTCTCCGGCGGTTGTCAACCAACGGAGAGGAGCTGGATGGAGGTGGAGCATGTGTTAGGGAGCTTCATCCTCAGGTTTGCACAGCAAGAGGAGGCTCTTCATCGCATCTGGTACGCTCTCAAGAGGTAGCGACTCATCTCCTGGCGGATCATCCTCTTCCCGACGATGGCTTGTTCATCTATTAATTGGAGATGCTTTACTCGATAGATTTGCGATACTTTTATCGCAAATTGTTCAATAATTTTAGTCACAATGCTCCACGAATCGTGTTGACGAGATTTTCACCGATGATCCAGCGATTCTAGTTGCTTAATCCTTCACTAGTGATCTGCAGGAAAGTTGTGATAATCAAATAAAAAATAGGAATTTTAGGCTCTAGGAGGATTTGAACCCACGCCGGTTGCTCGCCCCTTTCTGTGGAATGTGACGCGGGTTTAGTCCCACATCGGTTGTGCACCTAAGTTTCTGGTGAACATATAGTAATATTATATTTCCGATCAAATCTTTTTCTCGCGTGTGTACGACCACTCCTTGCCCCACAGCCGACTAGCCACCAGTGACGTAGAAGGGGGGTGGTGCACACGTGCCCCTATCGGTCTAAGCCGCTCAAGCCCCTGCTCACGGCTACTCTCTAACTGCGCTTCCGACCTGCTTGCGGGCCCGATTGGCCAACTGGTTCCCCCATTTTATCTTATTTTTATTTTTATTTCTTTTTCTTCATTTATCTCAAAAGTAAGATTGTAAAAATCATATAAAATCATTTAAAATCACATAATTACCCAAATGATGCAGGACGAGGTGAGAACCCTTGTACCTAATCAATGAAACTCAAGACCTGGGATGGGGCAGTCGGATCGATCCGATAAGAATGTATGGACCCAAGACTCTAGGTCTAACCACCTAACCTAAGTATAGGCAGGCGTACCAATATGCACTATCAACCCAGGACAACCCAGGGAAACACTCGACGATGGTAAGTGTTAGACCCTCTCGGTCCACGTCTAGACAAACGGTGGAACGGTCGTCGTGAAGTAGCCTAGGGCTGCAGCTCACGAACGGTGACGAGTTTGACGCAGCGTCAGAAGTCATGATCCTATAACCTGTCTTATCCTATCTACATTCTCCTGATGGCGGTGGAAACGAGCCGAGAAAACCCTTTGAAAGATAATTAAACTTAAGTAAGAAGGGGGTACGGAGCTAACCTTCAAGGCTGCATAGCTCGGCGGGTTGTGACAGAGAAGAGACTCAACGTAAGTAGAGACGTCTAGTGAAGAGTGATAAGTCTTCATTATCATGAGTTAATAATTAGTAAATAATATAGTTTTAGCCTTAACTCGTGATAAATAGACTTATCTTTGTGTTAAAGTGTGAAAAGTAGTTTTCAGTTGATTAATGTGATTTTTTTGGATAATTATGTGATTTTATACGAATTTATATGATATTTACAGTCTTACTTTTGAGATAAATGAAGAAAAAGAAATAAAACTAAAATATTGCAAAATGGGGGGACCCGCTGGCCAGTCGGGCCCGCAAGCGGGTCGGAAGCTCAGTCAGGGAGTAGCCGCGAGTAGGGGCTCGAGCGGCTTGGACCGACAGGGGCACTGACGTGACTCAGTCGTTGTATATTAAATCACGCAAATCTAAAATTTATAAAACTAGAAAATACGAATTTCCGGATATTTAGAAGTATTTATAAATAAATATATCAATTATAATTCAATAAAAGTTCCAAAAATAGCGGTAATTTCCTAGGTCGATCACAGGGATGTAATATAATATTTTGTAATTATTCAGAGTTTTTCTCAATGAATACGATTTTCTATGAATTTTATACTAGGAAATGAAAAGGAAATATATTTAAAATTCACGAAAAAAAAAAGAGGAAATAAGGGTGCGGACGACAGGATGACGTCAGCGCCCGGCGAACGCGAATCGGGCGGAAACAGAGTTCCGCCCGGCGATTCTTACGTAAGCGATTACAGACGATTTAATTAATCAAATTAAGATCTGTAAAAGCCGGAAGAATCGTAATTGAACGAAGTATAGTTTGGTAAATTAAAATCACACAAAGTATCACTAAATAAAGCGTAAATTAAATTGAAAGCAGGAAACCAGAGTTCCGGCGTCGCGACGGCGATGCGTCGGCGATGCACCGGAATCCTGAGCGTTCGGGAGGATCGTCGTGCAGTGTCCACGGCCTCGAAGGCTCTCCTTGGACAAAGACGACGTGGGCAATCTCTAGATCTTCTCGCGAAGTCTAGAGATCAATGAAGTGGGTCGTCGAATCGTCTCCGGCGGCTGTCACCCGGCGGAGCGGAAAAACGGCGACTTTGCGGCTCTCCGGCGGCTGTCACCCGACGGAGAGGAGCTGGATGGAGGTGGGGCGCGTGTCAGGGAGCTTCATCCTCAGGTCCGCGCAGCAAGGGGAGGCTCTTCATCGCATCTGGTACGCTCTCAGGAGGTGGCGACTCGTCTCCCGGCGGATCGTCCTCTTCCCGACGACGGCTTGTTCGTCGATCAATCGGAGATGATTTACTCGATGGATTGCGATCCTTTTATCGCGAATCGTTCAGCAATTTTAGTAGCAATGCTCCGCGAATCGCGTTGACGAGATTTTCGCCGATGATCCAGCGATTCCAGTTGCTTAATCCTTCACCGGCGATCTGCAGGAAAGTCGCGATAATCAATTAAAAATATATGAATTTTGACTCTGGGAGGATTCGAACCCGCGGCGGTCGCCCGCCCCTGAGCAAGGTGTGACGCGGGTTTAGTCCCACATCGGTTGTGTGCGGATTATTCGGGCGAATATATAGTAAAGTTAGCTTTCTAGGCAAAGTCCTCTCGCATGTACGACCACTCCTTGCCCCACAGCCGGCTGGCCACCGGTGACGTGGAAGGGGGGGAGTGGCGCACACGTGCCCCTATCGATCCAAGCAAGCCGCTCGAGCCCCTGCTCGCGGCTACTCCCCGACTGCGCTTCCGACCCGCTTGCGAGCCCGGCTGGCCGGCGGGTCCCCCCATTTTGCAATATTTTTATTTTTATTTCTTGTTCTTCATTTATCTCAAAACTAAGACTGTAAAAATCGTATAAAATCACATAATTACCCAAAAATTCACGTTAATCAACTGAAAACCACTTTTCATACTTTAACACAAATATAAGTCTATTTATCATGAGTTAAGGCTAAAACTATATTATTTACTAATTATTAACTCATGATAATGAAGACTTATCAGGCACGTGTGCGCCACTCCCCTTCCACGTCACCGGTGGCCAGCCAGCTATGGGGCAAGGAGTGGTCGTACATGTGAGAGAAGGAACTTTGCTTAGAAATGTAACATTACTATATATTCGCTCGAAAAATCAGCGCACAACCGATGTGGGACTAAACCCGTGTCACACCTTCCTCAGAAGGGGCGGACAACTAGCGCAGGTTTGAATCCTCCCAGAGTCAAAATTCATATATTTTTATCTGATTATCGCGACTTTCCTGCAGATCGCCGGTGAAGGACTAAGCAACGAGAATCGCTGGATCATCGGCGAAAATCTTGTCAACGCGATTCGCGGAGCATTGCTACTAAAATTGTTGAACGATTCACAATAAAAGGATCGCGAATCCATCGAGTAAATCATCTCCGATTGATCGAGGAACAAGCTGTCGTCGGGAAGAGGACGATCTGCCGAGAGACGAGTCGCCACCTCTTGAGAGCGTACCAGATGCGATGAAGAGCCTCCTCTTGCTGCACGGACCTGAGGATGAAGCTCCCTGACACGCGCCCTACCTCCATCCAGCTCCTCTCTGTCAGGTGACAACCGCCGGAGAGCCGCAAAGTCACCGTTTTTCCGCTCTGCCGGGTGAAAGCCGCCGGAGATGATTCAACGACCCATTTCATTAATCTCTAGACTTCGCGAAAAGATCTAGAGATTGCCCACATCGTCCTTGTCCAAGGAGAGCCTTAGTGGTTGTGGACACTACATGACAATCCTCCCGAACACTCAGAATTCCGGTACATCACAAATGCATCGCCGTCGCGACGTCGGAACTCTATTTTCCTGCTTTCAACTTACTTTATACTTTATTTAGTGATAATTTTTGTGATTTTAATTTACCAAAATATACTTTGTTATATTACGATTCTTCTGGCTTTTACAAATCTTAATTTGATTAATTAAATCGTCTATAATTGCTTACGTAAGAATCGCCGGGCAGAACTCTGTTTCCGCCCGATTCGTGTTCGTCGGGCGCTGACGTCATCCTGACGTCCACCCCCTTATTTCCTTTTTTTCGTGAAATTTAAAATATATTTCCTTTTCATTTCTTAGTATAAAATTTATAGAAAACAGTATTCTTTGAGGAAAATTCTGAATAATTACCAGATATTATATTACATCCCTGTGATCGACCTGGAAAATTACTGCTATTTTTGGAAGTTTTATTGAATTATAATTGATATATTTATTTAGAAATACTTCTAAATCTCCAAAAATTCATATTTTCTAGTTTTATAAATTTTAGATTTGCGTGATTTAATATACAACGACTAAGTCGCGTCAAAGAGCGATGCTCAGCATCAACCGTCGGTCCTAGTCGAGAGTTGTAGTAGTCGTCGTCGTAAGGCGTAGTGCAGTCAGCACGGCCGTGGGCCCGCTAGTGGGCCGAAGGGTGTTTGATCCCTACTGATCTTGATGCACTCTAGGTAGTCTCTTTTCCACAACAATTTTGGGCACGAGAATACTGTTGACCAAGCCTTGATTTTCCTCTTTTTTCTTTTGGCTAACTAATGCTAGAGAGAGAGCCAAAAATCTCCCTCTAAGAGGGAGGCGAAAGGCCTTAAACCTCTTGAGAATTAGGCCCCTCCAATAGACAGTTATATTTAATAACAGACTCTCTTGGTGGACAACCTAGATTTTTTTATGAGGGTAATGCTCTAATCCTTCTATTAATCTCATCTTAAGGTGCCCTAAGATGAGTGGCCTAGATCTCATCTCTTGATAGTCTTTTTAAGTCTAAGTGAGTTAGGCCAAGGTCATGTGCTGCTTAAAGTCTAAATGGGCTTGACCAAGATGACACCCTCTCTTCGGCCCATAAACATATTAGGTTGGCCCCCTCCATAAAACTTGAACTTTTCTTTAGGTTAAAAATTTAGGCTTCTTCTATTACTTCCAACTCATAATAAAAGCTCACCTAAGTCCTCGCAATCAAATAATTATAAAAACAATGGGAGAGAATCACCACTTGACTTCATAAAAGTCAAGTAGGGTTAGTCTCATAATATCAATAAAATAAGTAAAATAATATATATTAGGACTTAAATAATAAAATATTGTGAATGTCATAATGAGTTGGTAACACATATATAATTACATTCTCTACGCACTAGTTAGTGTCTATATATAAGATATTAATGCATAGATGCAACTACTAATTTATAATAATCAATCATACCCCTCATGAATAATATTTTTTTCTCAAGACCATGTGCCTAAGTCAATATGTTAGTCTCCTCAAAGACCACACCTTTCATGTGTAGTTTTCAGTTCTAAGCATTTGTGCCTTAGCCTAAACCTCTTTCCACTCACCACGCAAGTTACCTTAGGACTTAATGGAGAGAATCAAACTTCAATGGAGTAGTTGACATAAATCATCATACTTGTGTAAGCAAAATAATGTAGCTTTCAAGTCTTCATTTGACGCATGTGGTAGCTTTGCTATAATGGATGGAGTAAGATCTTACTCTTGAGCTGAGTAAATGATGTAAATAGATATCTTCGTTCGACATCAGTTTTGATTTTTTGTTAAGTCATTATATTTATCTTCCAAATTCTCCCTATCTTTTCAGCACATGAGAACAATCACACAAATTTGAAATTCTTTTCATTGCTTTGCCAGTGTGCTTGTGACCTTCAATTGCTCTCTAGTTTGAAGCTTTTCATTCTCACATAAGTTGTCCTTGATATTTCATTTGGAGATATGTAATAGATTAATATAAATTTTCTCTTTCAGGGTCTAATTTAAATATGAATGTTGAATTTTTCATTTGTCCATGTATTATGTTGACATGTTATCATCTATAATTTTTACTTTTCACCTTTAGTCATTCTTTAGTTTGAAGCCTTATGCTCTCATGTAAGTTGTCCTTGATATTATATCTAGAGATGCATAATAAATCAATAGATGCCTTTGTCTTTAGGGTCAAGCTCAGATACAATTGTTGAGCTTTTCATTATGTCCATGTACTTTGCCAATGTATTATTGTTTAAGGTGCATAAATTGACCTTTAGTTATTCTTGTTTGAGACTTAGTTCTTCTCATAGATCATATTCAAAACTCTAGTCTACAGATTCTTGATATCTCAATGATATTTCAAAACTCTAATATGTTTAAGAACATATTAGTTTCTTTCTTACTAAGCAAATATCTAATGACTGAATGATCAATATAAATAACTATTTTACTTCGTAAAAAATACGATCTAAATTTATTTAGAACAAAGATAATAGCCAGTAATTCTTTCTCAGCTATAGTGTAATTTACATGAGCCTCATTAAGAGTTTTACTTGTGTAATAAATGGCCATTAGTTTCTTATCCACTCATTGACCTATGACAACTCCCACTACAAAATCTGAAGCATCACACATTAGTTCAAAAGGTAAACTCTAATCTAGGGATCTTAGGATAGGAGCCTCAATCAATACTTTCTTAATTTCCAAACAAACTTGTTCACCTGCTGCATCAACATAGAAGATAATATCTTTAGAGAGCAAGTTAGTCAACAGTTTGGATAATTTAGCAAAATATTTAATGAAATATTGATAAAATCTAACATGGCCAAAATGCTCTCATTTATTTAATTGTGCTAGTCTAATGAAGGTTGTGAATTACTTCAATCTTAGCTTTATCTACCTCCAACCCTCCGACTGCTAACTAAATGGCCCAACACAACTCCTTGTGCATGATAAAATGAGACTTCTATCAACTCAAGAAAAGATTTTTTTTAATATATATCTACAAAACTTTTGTCAAATTAGTCAAAAAATGACCAAAAGACTGACCAAAGACTGAAAAATCATTCATGAATATTTCTAAACAATCATCAACTAACTCAAAAAATATGGTAGACATACATCTTTGAAAGGTAGTAAGTGAATTACACAAACCAAATGGCATCTTTTGAAATGCAAACGTTCTTAATGGGCATGTAAACTTGGTTTTTTCTTGATCATCAAGACATATACCTATTTGGTTGTACCTTGAATATTTACCTAGAAAATTAAAAAATATATATCCTACTAATTTTTCAAGGATTTGATCAATGGAGGGTAAGGATAATGATCTTTCTTAGTCACATGATTTAATCTTCTATAATCTATACAAACTCTCCAGCTAGTGGATAATCTAATTTGAATCTCTTCCCTTTTTTCATTTTAGTCATGCTGATTCCTATTTTCTTTGGGACTACATAGATAGGACTAATCCATGGGCTATCAGATATATAATAGATTATACATGTGTCCAACCACTTCATAACCTCTTTATTCACTGCCTTCCACATCTTAGGATTTAATCTCCTCTAAGTTTTCCTACTACAATGAGTGATGCAGGATGGGGCAAGAACCCTTGTACCTGATCAATGAAACTCAAGACCTGAGATGGGGCAGTCGGACCGATCTTATAAGAATGTATGGACCCTAGACTCTAGGTCTGACCATGTAACCTAAGTACAAGCAGGCGTACCAAGATGTACTATTAACCCAGGACAAGCCGGGGAAACACTCGACGATGGTAAGTGTGAGACCCTCTCGGTCCACGTCCGGACAGACGGTGGAATGGTCGTCGTGAAGTAGCCTAGGGCTGCAGCTCACGAACGGTGACAAGTCTGGCGTAACGTCGGAAGTCACGATCTAATAACCCGTCCTATCTTGTCTACGTTCTCCTGATAGTGGTGGGAACGAGCCGAGAAAGTGGAAACGAGCCGAAAGATAATTAAACTTAAGTAAGAAGGGGTATGGAGCTAACCTTCGGGGCTACGCAGCCCGGTGGGTCATGACGGAGTGGAGACTCGACATAGGCAGAGACGTCCGGTGAAGAGCGATGCTCAGCGTCGACGGTCGGTCTTGGACGAAAGTCGTAGTAGTTGTCGTCGTAAGGCGTGGCACAGTCGGCGCGAGCATGGGCCCACTAGTGGGCCGAAAGGCACGCTAGGGGGTGCGTGTGGCAAGCCACGTGGCATGCCTCAAGGCACGCGGGCGGCAGTGCCGGGTGGGCACGCGGGCCACAGGAGCCGGCGTGCAGGGCACATGCAGCAGTGGCGCTTTGGCAAGATGCCGAGTGTCAGCGGCACTTCGGCGGGAATGCCAAGCGTCAGCGGCGCTTCGGCGGGAATGCCGAGCGTCAGCGGCGCTTTAGTGGGAATGCCAAGCGTTAGTGGTTGGGTGGAAGCCCCAACCGTCGCCGGAAGGATCGGCCTTCTCTGGCGGCGCTGGGAAGTAGAGCAGAGGAAGGAGATGATCTCGGCCGACGATACCAGGGAGGGTTGAGCCCTCTTGGTCTAGGCAGCACCGGAAACGGCGCGACGGTGGTGGATCGTCGGGAAACTCTGGCGGGGGCCTGTGCAGAGCTTGGACTGGATCTGGCTCATCGGCATGGCTGCAAGGTCTCTCCTGACGTCAGTGGCAGGTAGGCGTTCGTCGGCAAATGGCCAGCGACTAGGCGGAGTAGCGGATGGTGGCTCCAGCGAGTTTATGGTGGAGTTTCGAAGGAAGAGGTGGCAGTCTGATGGCAAGCGGGACCTATCTCCATCAGCTCAAGAGACACTAGCAGTCCGAGTTCAGCCCAATCGACGCGCGAAGACAAAGGAGCCTGGCTTTCGCTACGCGGCCTAGCCCTTTGGGACAACGACATTCCACCTCCGCGACGACGACGAGCTCGAGCTCACCCATATCTTTCTTTGTACTTTCACGTTGACTTGTTGGGCCTCACATTTGTGTGTTAGCGGGCCCAATTCTATGTGTGTGTTGTTGTTTGTGTCTCCCTTTCTTTAGGGTTTTATTGGGTCTCTCTTTTGAGGCCCAATTAAAACCCTAAGGGGTGGGGGACCTATGTGTCTTTCCTTTGGGGCCTCTTTTGGGGCTTATTTGGGTCTTCATTTGAGGCCCACTTAAGCCGTAAGAGGGCCCTCCTCTTTCTCCTTTTAGGGGAGCTTATTGGGTCTCTCTTTAAGAGGCCCAATAAGCCCCTTTTGTAGCCTTTTGTGGCTTATGGGCTTGAGGGCCTCAAGTGGGCCCACCTCCCCTTAGCCCACTTGTGGGCCCCATATAAGGGGAGGTAGGACCCCCCCTCAAGAGAGCGCCGTATTTTTGAGAGAGATTATCGTTTTGTGAGTACCTTCTCCGTGATCTAGGATAGGGAGGGAAGGAGGAAGAGGAAGGCCGTCGATACCCCCCTCGAGGACTTCGTTCCTCGTGACGCTGCTGCCCGAGAAGTCCCGCCGCCGCCTGAGACCACTGCCGCCGCCGGCCATCTCAGTGCCGCCCGGGAGTTCGCCGCCGTCACCGGACGAAACGGTCGCGGTTGCCGCTGCAACCGCCGCCGCCTCTGCTGGAACCCCGTCACGCCATCGTGACGAAAGGGGCTCGCTTCGCCTCCCTACGAGCCGTCGCCGAGCACTCCGCCGGAGTCTCTCGACTCCTGGTTCGTCTGCCACCTCTTCCTCCGGAACTCCACCATAAACTCGCCGGAGCCGCCATCCGCCGCTCCGCCCAGTCGCTGGCCGTTCGCCGACGAACGCCTACCTGCCGCCGACGTCGGGAGAGACCCAGCAGCCGTACCGACGAGCCAGAACCAGTCCCAGCTCCTCACAGGCCCCCGCCGGAGTTTCCCGACGCTCCGCCGCCGTCGCGCCGTTTCCGGCGCCGTTTAGACCAGGAGAGCTCAACCCTCCCTGGTATCGTCGGCCGGATCGTCTCCTCTCTGCTCCGCTTCCCGGCGCCGCCAGAGAGGCCGATCCTTCCGGCGACGGTTGGGTTTTCGCCCCAACCGCCGACGCTCGGCCTTCCCGCCGAAGCGCCGCTGACGCTCGGCATTCCTGCCGAAGCGCCGCAGACGCTCGGCCTTCCCGCCGAAGCGCTGCCGCCGCGCGCGCCGCGCGCGCCGGCTCCTGCGTGCCCTAAGGCCGCCGCGCGGCTTGCCTCCCGCGCCCGCTAGCGTGCCCTTCGACCTACCTGCGGACCCACGCTCGCTAGCGTGCCCTTCGGCCCACCAGCGGGCCCACGCCCGCGCCGACCATGCCACGCCTTACGACGGCGGCTACGGCGACTCTCGACCAGGACCGACCGTCGACGCTGAGCATCGCTCTTCACCGGACGTCCCTGCCTTCGTCGGATCTCCGCACCGTCACGACCCGCCGGGCTACGCAGCCCTGAAGGTTAGCTCCGTACCCCTTCTTACTTAAGTTTAATTATCTTTCGAAAGGTTTTCTCGGCTCGTCTCTACCGCCATCAAGAGCACGTAGACAAGATAGGACAGGTTATCGGATCGTGACTTCCGATGCTGCGCCAGATTTGTCACAGTTCGTGAGCTGCAGCCCTAGGCTACCTCACGACGACTGTTCCGCCGTTTGTCTGGACGTGGACCGAGAGGGCTTCACATTTACCATCGTCGAGTGTTTCTCCAGATTGTCCTGGGTTGATCACGCATATTGGTACACCTGCCTGTACTTAGGTTACGTGGTCAGACCTAGAGTCTTGGATCTAAACATTCTTATCAGATCAGTCCAACTGCCCTATCTTGGGTCTCGAGTTTCATTGATCAGGTACAGGGGGTTCTCGCCCCGTCCTGCATCATAGTCGAACTAGGAGTCAAGAGACTCCGGTGGAGTGCTCGGCACCGGCTCGTAGGGGGGCGAAGCAAGCCCCTTTCATCACGACGGCGTGACAAGGTTCCAACAGAGGCGGCGGCGGTTGCAGCGGCAACCGCGACCGTTTTGTCCGGTGACAGTGGCGTTCTCACAAGCGACAATGAAGCTGTCTGACAGGGGCAGTGGTCTTCGGCGGCGTGGAACTTCTCAAGCAGCAGCGTCACGAGGAACGAAGTCCTCACAGGGTATCGACAGCCTTCCTCTCCCTCCTTCCCTCCCTATCCTAGGTCACTAAGAAGGTAACTCACAAAATGATAATTTCTCACAAAATTCGGCCCTCCCCTTGAGGGGGGGTCCTACCTCCCCTTATATAGGCCCACAAGTGGGCTAAGGGGAGGTGGGCCCACTTGAGGCCCTCAAGCCCATAAGCCACAAAAAAGGCTACAAAAGGGGTTTATTGGGCCTCTTAAAGAGAGACCCAATAAGCTCCCCTAAAAGGAGAAAGAGGAGGGCCCTCTTACGGTACTTAAGTGGGCCTCAAATGAAGACCCAAATAAGCCCCAAAAGAGGCCCAAAAAGAAAGACACATAGGTCCCCCCCCTTAGGGTTTTAATTGGGCCTCAAAAGAGAGACCCAATAAAACCCTAAAGAAAGGGAGACACAAATAACAACACACACATATAGAATTGGGCCTGCTAACACACAAATGCGAGGCCCAACAAGTCAATGTGAAAATACAAAGAAAGATAAAGGTGAGCTCGAGCTTGTCGTCATCGTAGAGGTGGAATGTCGTCGTCCTGAAGGGTAGGCTGTGTAGCGAAAGCCAGGCTCCTTCATCTTCGTGCGTCGATCGGGATGAACTCGGACTGCCGGTGTCTCCTGAGCTGATGGAGATGGGTCCTGCTCGCCATCAATGAGCATCATCTTCAATAAAAATCCTATGCATACAAGTATCTACACTAAATCCTTTTATATCACCTGAAGACAACCAAGAGCATTTTTATAAGTCCTAAGTACATATAATATCTCTCTTCTTGATCTAAAGATAAAGTGGATGAAATAATAACAAGAAAACAACTTCCTTGTCCAAGAAAAGCATGCTTTAAAGTCGAAGGTAAAGGCTTCAATTCTTAATGTTTTTCTTCATCACTAGGTAAAATATTTTTTTCAATTAAAAATTGTGGAGGATCAAGAATAGAAGTCATACAAAGAATATTATCATCAACAAATTCATCAGATAAATCAATATGATTACAATCTTCAATGAAATTCTCAAAATATTTTATCAACTTAGAAATTTTTATTTCAACTTTTTTATGCCCAAATTTTAATTCTACCATTCCCTTCCCCCAATCCATTATAGTTTTGGCTATTGTTAAGAATGGCCTACCCAAAATGATGGGAGTATGAGTAATATTATCATTCATTTTCATATCAGCAACAATAAAATCTACATGAAAATAACAACTTTCCATTTTTACTATCACATCTTCAAGAATTCTATATGATTGTCTAATCAACCCATCAGCTAATTGAAACTCTACTATAATTGATTGTAAATCACCGAATTTAAATTTATCAGAAAGAGCTTTTTAGTTGTATATTCACACTAGCACCTAAATCAAGTAAAGATCTAGTAAAAAGCATACCTCTAATCTCACAAGTGATAAGTGGTGCTCTGAGATATCTATGCTTTTCAAGAATATGATTAAATAATATAGAACTTATTGTCTCATATACTCTCTACATAATCCTTTTAAAAATTTAGCATATGAAGAAATGTGCTTAATAATATCAATAAAAGGAATATTAGTATTTACTTGTTTTTGAAAAGATCCATGAGATGATCATCAAGGGTATTAGGTTTATTTTTCAATTTTTGTAAGGCTTCAAGAAAAGGAATTGGAGATTTATAATTTTTGAGATTTACCTCTCTACCCTCCTTCTTACATATATCTACAGTTCCTTGATCTTCTTTATCTTCTTTTTCTTCATACTCCAAATTGTTTTCTTCTCTTTTCTCTCTATATGGATCAGGTAAAATTTTTCCATTCCTTAATTTTGAAATAGCATGTAATGTTTCAAAATCTTTATCCTTGGATTCTACATGATGAATTTGATGCTAAGAAGAATTAGTCATATGTTTAGGATTAACTATTGGTTGAGTGGAAAATTTACCTGTGTCTCAACCATTATAATTTGAATTGTCCCTTTTACCTTTTTTTTCCTCTAGCCTTGAGAGTTCTTGGTGCTGGCTGTCAACTTTGATCTTCATTCTCTTCGTTTCTTGTATAATTTATTGCTGTTTTAATTCCATAGCTTTCTTCCCCTGCAACAATTACTTCAAGAGCTCATTAATAGTGATAGAATCATCCTTTTGCACTCCTTGGTTTCATGCTCCCTTGATGATAAGCATGTGCATAACTAGGACTTTGAAAATGTTGCCTTGGATGTGAAGAGAAATCTTGATGGTTTAGAGCAGAATAATAAGAATTACCTGCATCCTTTATAACATTATTATTATGGTCCTTATTGCTCCATGTATTCTGATTGAACTTTTTATTTTTTCAGAAACTATCATTCATTGCCATGGCTTGATTATATCTAGGAAAGTTCAATTCTACATGTTCATGACCAGAGCAAAGTGCACAAATTGGTAATTCAAATTCAATAGGAGATGGCTCAGTATTTAAATTATCACTTGTAGAACCATTCATTAAATTATTGACACATTCCATTAATTTATCTAGTTTATCTAAAAGTAAAACTCTCTCAAATGATTTCGAGTCATAAATATATCTTCTAGGTCCAAGACCTTGTCCATTTTGGTTTAAAGCCATGTGATGTGCACTATTTTCTGCAATCATTTCAATCAAGTCAAAAGCTTCATGATCATACTTATTCATAAAAGCACCTTTGCTGGCTGCATCTATCACATGTCAGTCTTTGTCATTCAGCCATTCCTAAAAAATCTAAAGAAGTTACCAATTCTAAATCCCATGAAGGGGCACTGTCAATTATACTCCTTCATTCTTTCCCATGTTTCAAAAAATGATTCTTGAGCTCCCTACACAAAATCTCTAATTGCCTTTCCAATGGCATTAGTTTTATCAATATAATAAAAAAAAATTAAGAAAGCTACTTCCATTTCACTCTATGAATTTAACTCTTGAGCTAGAGCTCTAAACCAATCTTTAGCTTTGTCCTTAAGAGTAAAAGAAAACACATTCATCTTCACCACTTCACTAGACACATTACGATAATTTGAGATTTCACACAACTTTGAGAAATTTCTTCTAAGTGCTTATAAGGTTCTTCATGACTCATCCCATGAAAATGAGGTAACATTTACACTAGATGATGATCTTGTTGATGCCCTTGGGCATAGGTTTTAATATTACAATTATATGAGAAAATATATAATTCATGTTTGATATTGTTTACAAGATTATCATAAATGCCTCAGATTTCATGCAAATAAATTTATTATTTATCTTGTGACATTAGGGCTAACCTTGAGATTAAGTGAATTTATGAATAGGTGAAGCGCCACATATATATGGATAAATATTTGTTGGAAAACAAATATTTAATCGGTAAATGACAGTTATGTTTTTAGTTCATTTATCCATGATTATTTAACCATTTAAGTGCAGCTATTATTTATTAGTCACGTGCATAATTAAAAGAAAAAGAAAAAGATTCGAAATATCAAATGAGCTCTTGTGAGTCTCGAACCGGAAATCTAGACGATGACACGCCAGCTGCTTGCTTACGTGGAGAAAACGACCAGCTTAACGCTCTAATCTGAAGACAGAGTCAACAGGAAAGTTGTTCTTCTGTGAGAGATGAATCTCCAATTCAAATTTATAATCGAACGGACCAGAGAATAGAAAGATATTGAATTCGCAATAGTCAAAGGTCGTTGCCGCGCATTCCGGAAAACGGTAAGTATTTGAACTGACTTTCCAATTTTATCTCTTGAGCAAAATGCGGAAATCCGTTGGAGGACGACGCCCTGGTAAAGGAAGCTGGGGAGATCAACAATAATGATTCCACTTCGATCTATGACGAGTAATCTCTCTCACAATCAAGAATCATTACTGCTGAGCTTCAACCACGAGCAGACTGCATCATCCTTCTTCATCAACGATTGGTGATCAAGATAAAGCTTGAATCTTTCAAGGAGGCTCTCCATCAGGCCCTAAGGTAACTGGGTAGTGAGTGGAGAGTGATTTTGGTCAGAGGCACGAGGTGCTATAAGTTCTGTTTGGCCCAGAAGGGGCTGGATCTCTGCGGAGATCAAATCTGAGGTATTGGGTTGCTGATCCCATTAATTTCAGTGTGTATTTCCGAGGAAAATAGTGAAATACTGATGAGAAGGATCCTCCGGGATTAGAAGTAGCCAAGTGAGGGGCAAATCAGTATAAAAAGTTCTTGTCTCATAGTGAGAACCCACTGGAAGAGAGAGAAAGTAATCATGTACGTAGATAATCATGCACAGCTGTGTTAATTCATGTGTTGACACATCTACTATCTAGGAAGAAAATCCGAGATTTTTAAAATACCAATTTACCCCCCCTCTTGGTATTTTGCCTAGCCTTGAGATCTTTCAGAACTACTCTAAAGTTCACTCCTTATCTAAGAGGTGCATTCACTTTGGTCAATGGGCTATATTGTAGACAAACTGTATGAGCTTTAAGATGTATTCTACCTTGATCATTCTCATGCATGACTAATGTATTCTCAGCTACTTTAGTAGAACTACACGATTCTTCTTCTAATTCACATTCAGCAGTAACTATGGGAGCTTTTTGAGTATATCGACCTTGCATGAAATAATGTAAAAAAATATATTATTTTAAAGAAATTTTTTGAATTGCTTAACTTTAACACCAAGGTTGAAACAAAATTTCTGTAGACAGATTTTTCTCTCTTCATTTCTACTTAGAAGAGGAGAACAATTAATTCACAAAAAATAAATTCAACCTTGAGTTAGCACAATTCAAATTCATAATTTCTTCAAGAAAGAAATTGTGATGACTGCTTTAACTAACCATGATATTCAGACAGAATCAATATATTATATGATGATATAACTCCGAAATTATTAAGAAAATAAGGTAAGATATCCTACCTCACTCCATAGCTTCTCTTAATTTCTTTCTATCCGGATCAACTTAAAAGAACTTTAAACTTGTTAGTTCAAAAAGTAAAGACAATTTCATGAACTTAATAAAAATAAACATCTAAGGCTCTCAAGTCCTTGGCAAATGTGCCATTTGACAGATGGATTTTACAAAGCTGACATTTATACCTAAATCATGGATCTGATCATGTAAGAAATGTACAGGAATCCTGATCTCGATTCTAACTTATGTAGTTAGGATGATACCAGTTCGTTCTCCACAGGAACTCAAGTATTAGATACCTATTAAGTTAATGATGAAAGATGAGAATGATAATGAATTAACAGATAGAATGAAGAAAGAAACCTAGGTTGATGCCCCAACCTAGAGGATTGAAGAAAAGGGATTTTTATGAACACTAACAATGGAGTAAAATCAAATCTCGAAATATATTAAATCTAACTTAACTAAATCAATCTAGTATGCATCGTGTTGAAGCTCATTCCGATCTTGTGTACTCACCTGAGATTTTTATTAATCGCCAAGATTAGGCTACTTCGTAATTCAGAGAAGGGACTTGATCCAAGGGAAACTCCCAACACAAAGACAGACAACTCGTCTCTATCCAGCCGAGAGAAAAGATGGAGAGTCTTACAACTGATCCACCCTTCACAGACAACTCAAACACGAGGAGAAGTCATTTAAGGCTAAAAATTTGCACTAATTGAGAAATCATTTCAAGAAAAAGGCAAAAACACACGTCCTGACTAAAGCCCATCGGCCCGCATTTTAGAAAAAATAAAATAGAATGGAATTATATTACAAGATTTGTAGACGGGTTCATCTGCCGGCGTTGGGTAAGAACAGTGGGTGTGTGGCGTCGATGGGTCAAACACAGGCGCTTTGGTAACTCATCGAAGTACATTTCGGTGTCTGGATGGTCGACGGGCAGGATACTTGGCTGCTGCAGACGGTTCTGGGGATCTTCAGGAAAGATCACTGAAACAGAACCCTCGATGGGCAGACATGAAGGCTCGAATTTGTACCACCACTGCGTGAGAGTTTGCACAACAGAGGAGCTCGAGAGGAGCTGAATCAGAGAGTTCATTTTCCATTCCATGCAATCAGAGGAGTGGGGCGCCGGCCGGATCTTCCTCCATGTCCCCAAGAAACGGCGACTCGGCGGTCACGCCGCTCTGGGCACCGGCGCTGTCGGCGGAAGGAGAGGAAAGATCAAAGCGAGGCGGACAACACAGCGACGCCTGCTGCTGCGCGGAGGAGGCGAAGATGCTACCCGGACATTCTCTCGTTCAGCGCTTCGCGCTCCTGAAATACGGAGAAGAAGTCCGGCTCCGCACGATCGGCAGTGGCGCCTGGGAGATCCGAAGTCTTCCCGCCAGCGATCGCCGCGCGTGGAGACGACGGAGAAGGGGAGAAAGACGGTCGGGGAAGTGGAATAGAGCCTGATGACCGGCGGCAGAGGCAACGAAGCCTCCGGCCCGCAAGCCCCGGTTCGGTCCGCGGCCTTCCCCGAGACCCAGTTGATGACGGCGGGGGGCCCTTCCCCTCCGCCGTAGGAAGCGACGTACTTCAGCCCGCACTCGGAGAAGGCGAGCACGGCCACCCGCCAGCCTGGGTGGGCCGTGGCGAAACCCTCCGCCTTCAAGAGGAGCCCTCTCCGGCGCTTTGAGAAGCAGACGGGCCGCGCTTCAACGCCGTCGATCCGGCGGAGGTCAGGGCCACGAGGTCAGCAGTCATCGTCTTTGTCCACTCACTTCACCAACTCCCTCCCGCGTTTTCTCGCAGAAGGCAGCTGGTAATCCACATGCACGAGAAGTGGGGAGAACAGAAGAATGAGAGACGATGTAGAGAACAGAAGTGAGAGACGATGGAGATAGAGTCCGGTCGCTTTTACCGGGCGGATATTGGAACTGGTCAGCCCTGGAGTGTTTGTTACGCGCGACGTAGCCGAACGAGGACTCCATCACGCGTCTCCCGCGCGTATATTTTAGATTTGACCCGATCTGTATAGGAAAACGTAAGAAAACTTCCCCCAAATCCGGCGGTTCTAGAAGAACATGGCATCGAAGAAGCATCCTATTCCCGGTCAACGATGTTTCTGTTCCCCCTCTCCTCCTCGGTCAGCCCTCCTCAATCGATCGATCTATTATTTTTCTCCGAATGCCTCCCTCTGCCGTTGGCTCCCACTATAAAAGCAGCCCCGCACACGCATATATTCCTCATCTCCCCCTCACGAACTCCCATCTACCCTTCTTCTCTCCGCTTTGCGCAATCCTGTGTCTGTGTGGACTCAGGGGAAGGAGGGGGCTGCGAGGGCTGTGGGCAAGGGCGACCTGCAGAACACACGAAGAAGTCTTTCTTCTCAGACAACAGCGACCAACAAGCATGACCTCATCTTCGTCCTCTGCACTTCCCTTCTTCATCCTCGTCGTGGTTTACGCCGCCACGGGCGCGCTCGCGGCCACATTCGAGGTAGGGGACAACCAGATATGGAGCATCCCATCCAGTCCCAGCTACTACACCGACTGGGCCAGCAGGCAGACATTCGCTGTCGGCGATTCTCTCGGTAGGCAGCATCTTCAGTCTCTCCGTTCCTTCATTCCTCTCAGCTTCTTAGCATCATCTCAATCTCTAATAGTGCGCCCCAGAGCACTCTAATCAAACTCCCTGATCCTGCCCCTCTGCAGTTTTCAACTTCAACAACGGTGCCCACGACGTGCTCGAGGTGACGAGGGCGAACTACGACGACTGCACTACGTCCAACCCCATCGCCACGTACACCACCGGCCCGGCCACCGTGGAACTCACTGCAGCGGGCACCAGATACTTCATCTGCGGCGTCAATGGTCACTGTAGTGCAGGCCAGAAGATGACTCTCACAGTAGCGGCGGCCTCCACCCCTTCGGCCACCCCGCCATCCCCGACCTCCTCCGGAGCACCAACACCGCCCACAACTGTTGCTAGCCCTCCAACGTCCTCCACCCCCGGACCTTCTGGTTCGGCACCCGGAGTTCCCGGGGCGGCGCCCTCTGCAACCCTCGGAACAGCCGCGGTCGCTGCCACCTTTGCGTTGACAACAATCGCAGCCGCTCTGATGTTGTAGAAACCTACGCAGCTTCATGTATCCATGTGCCCTTATTGTTACGTCGTATGAAATTGGATTAAATTTCTGACGCATCTGGTGGTCTTCTCTGTGTTTTTTCTCGTATTCCGGTGCCACACTTGCGGGAGTCTTTGTCCAAAACAGCTTCAGGGGATCTTTTGTCTCTAACACCTTGATTCTGACGGCCATGGTTGATGCGGTACATGCGTTCTTATTCCACAGTGCGAATGGTTAGACTTTTGGGTTCCTAGAGAACCCCACAATTTAAAAGACGCATGTAGGGGACGCGTGGTGCAGTATCGTCCGACTTCGTCAGAAGACTTCGTAGGAGAGGGAGGATGATGCTTGAGAGACTGTCGTGCTTGATTCTTGGATGAGGGAGGGAGAGAGAGGAAGCATCGTTGATGTTCGACTCTTCTAGAACGGCGGCATCATTACGGGAAGAAGTCGTCTGATGCTGTCCTCCAGAGATCCCGCCTAATTAAAACATTGGGGAAGGGGACGATTGATGAAATCTCGTCCGACTACGTCAGGTGCACCAATTTAAAGTTTCCAGGGTTTGACAAATTCCGTGCCGACGGCGACAGACCATAAAGCGACCCGACTCCATCTCGATACTTTCTGGCTTGGCCTGTTGTCCCTCTTCCGTGGGGACGTGTTGGATGTCATATCGTGAGAGAACTCAGGGGAGAGTCTGAAGAGTACGTTCGAGTATTGAGCTAAAGAGATGGACGGAAATGATACGTTTTCATAGGGCCGCATTTCTCCCACCTCACTCTCCCTCCCTCTCAAGCATCCTTTTCCCTCCCACTGTGCGCCCCCGCCCCACGTCTCTCCCCTCTCTCTCTGTCTCTCTTATAGTATCGAAGCACTTCTGGGAGCTCAACTAGTTTAACCACAGAGCTAAGTGAAATCGAGAACAGGCTTGGGGGATAGAGAAAGCTTAGGGCATAACCAAATCGCTATAAATCATTCTTGGTATTGTTTCGTTCATTTTCGCAGGGACGCTCCTAAAGATGAACACAGCAACCAGCAAGTCTAGAAAAACCTGATATGGTAGACTTGTATTATAGTGTTACGTGCACTAAGATTTTCATTTTAGAATTTCTTCAATTGATTAATGGGTCAAAGTAACAGTCGGCTTATGCATCAGAATATCTTAAAACCCATGATTTGTATCAGACTAAATAATTATACCAATAAATCTAGACACTTTTGCTACAGGTTCGTGATTTTTCATCCAATTAGCCTCTCTCTCTCTCTCTCGCTCTCTCTCTCTCTCTCTCTCTCACCCCTTAATTTAAAACTTTTCCCGAGATGGAGGGCTTACACCCCGAACATCGGGCAGTGGTGCCAAGATTTAGATGGTCTTCAAGTGTCAGTTCTTCCATTCCGAGTGATGAATATCGTGTATGACGGGGCCAATAAAGTAAGCCGCAATTCTCTCTGTTTTTCTTCGTAGACTAACAGTACGTTGAGTAAGCCATAATATTAAGAAATCACAAGATGAGCAGTCGCAAAGTTACAGTAAAAGCGCATGTTTTACATCAGGCGCCATGTGAACCACGCCTCCCCTGGCTCTTCCTGCTCGTCCCCTTATTCGGACAAGAACGAGCGAGGGCCATGAGGTTTGAAGGGTTCTGAGTGTCCCACCTTTCTGGGTGAACGTAACATTGACCTGTCACTCGAAGGATGGCAAAATCCAAGCTTTCATCTGCCCTCTCCAAAGGATATAGCTCGCCTTGTGAAGACTACCATTCTCTCGGTGTCCCTTGAGACTTAACTTTCTTGTGATATCTCTACTGGTAATGTTTGTAGATGTGACATTATCAACATTGCATCAGGTTCATGGAGGCCTCAGCTTCTGAGGGACAAGATCAGAGATGCTGGCTCGGCGTAGAGCTCCTTGAGAGGCAACTTCACCAGCTGGGGTAGGACTGCAAGCTGGAAGGGAGTGCGCTCGCCGTGGAAACGACGATGTTGATGGCGTCAGGAGACAACTGGCTGGCTGGCTGGGCGACGAAAGCTGATGGGGTGGCAAGAAGCTCTCCCACCGCATCATGACAAGCTACGAGCAGTCTTTCATTGTTATGAGCTCGGTCATTGGCTGGACCGCGTCTACGGTTCCAGCTGTGTGATTTCCAGATCTGCAATACAGCCGCCGCCGCTGAAGAAGCCTCGCGAGGATGAGGGTGACGTGCCACGTGTCCCCTTGGGCGGCACAGGGTGGCCTAGGGTCCAAATTCCCATATATCTTACTTTGAAGGAAATAAGGAAATATGCTTTTAATACTTTTCAAGATTATGTTGTGTTTTGAAGAGAGTATCGTTTGATGATTTCTTTCCTCAAGAAAAAATATAGAATATGGATTTTGCTTCGTAGGGGTGTGATTGGAGGCGATGATCACCTAAAAGCCTTGGCCAACTTATCTAGTCATTCAAACAACTTATGAAGTTCAAATTTATCTAATGTTTTTAAGAAAAGGTCTGTAATTCCCTAATGATGGTCGCATTATCGAGAGTCATAGGCCTTGAAACGACGTTATTCATAGTGATCTTAATGACCACAATTACATAGATTTCACCACATGCTTTAGCTTCGGCCCAATCGGTTCAAGTTTTTTGAGACTTTGATGAAGGGTTCCTCTTTAATTTCATGCTAATTTATCCTAATAGTCAATCAAACTGAAGTCCACAAGAAAAGGTCAAGATATTGTCAAATGGCGTGAACTTGCTAATGAATGATGCATCGTTCTCATTTATGAGGGCCTTGGACCACAATGGCAAAGTATTTCTCCAAGGTAGGGTAGTAATAATTGCATAAAACAATCTTCTTTGAAATAATTTGCCTATTTACCACATGCCTTTGAACGTGCTTTTGGAGCCACCTGGTGCGATTTGTCAACATCATCGAAGTCTATGGGAGCTCCATGATAGCCATGTGTTAGACAAGATCCTTTAATGATGATGGACCTTGATTTCATTCTATAAATTCCTTATTGATCTCTATTTGGTACATAGTCCTAGAAAGAACCATCAATGAGAGAGAACATTCTATGTAGACACCAATGACAATTACATCAAAGAACCAAACCTCAGCCGAACTAATGTGTTAAAAATTATGAGCTTGTTTAATAAGGATAATATGAACATTTTCCTCTGGATAGTGGTTAGAAGAAGGAAAGTCTAGTGATGTTTAGAAGAATATCTCTTAGGAGATGACATTCTTGTAGCTTTCAGAAATGTTTCCAAGCATCTCCCCCTCCTTAGATGCCTCTAGACGATATGATAGCTTTAGATAGCTTAAAAACATCTCAAAGAAGGTTACACCCCAAGGGATGTGCCATGATAGCATATGGATGTTTTTGTCTTACCTAACCAATTTCACTCAAAAATTCCACAATAATTGGTATTCACCATTTTCTAAGGGCATTTGTAGAAAAATATTAATATAATATAATGATGATTCATTATAAACTCACTTTTGGGTCTTTAAATAAATTATTGAAAGATTTTTTGAATATATTAATCTTAATTTTAGTATTTATTGATATTCAAGTTTTATCTCCTTCTGAAATTTGATTATCTAGAAATGCATTTATGGGTTGATACACAACGAGCGATCAAAACAACAAAACTCAGTTTCGAATCTGGATTTGGAATTGCTTGAGAAATTTATGTGTCATCCATGACATGTCATTTACTAATGAAACCATTCACAACTTAGCTATTTAAAACCTCACATATCAGGCAACAATGAATTAAACCTATATATTGATCGAATTAACATACTTTTTAATATTTTATTTGTCAATATGTAGCTTATAATAGTATATTTGACAATGTGACAATGGCTAATTCAGTATGACCCACTTAAAAAGTTTCCGAATAGCCATTAAAAGAAATATGAAATCATATTCTCCATTACTAGCATACTCTACTAATTACTATGATCGATATGTTTTCAATGACATCAATATTTCTCTTTTATCCATGGAAAGTATAAAACCTCGCCATGTCATCAGGATTTTCGTAATCTCTTTTATTTGACCAAAATCTGGCAAAGCGGGCCCCACCTTGACGCACACTTAAAGAGGATAGTCGATAATACTAGGGTTGTTTTCATAATTCGCATGAGGCTTTCGTGGCAACTGTCCTGCCAGTGTTGATGACGTCCTCCATAACCTGCTTAAAGTGGACGCGAGCCAACCGTGAAAAGGCGCGCTCGCCTCGACCCGCGGTCCCATTTTATACGGGAGGGGTTTCATACAATTGTACATCCGACAGGAGCAGTAACGAATAGATATATATCTAGAGAGAGAGAGCCTGGGGGACAAACGGTGCGAGAGCTAGAGAGAATGAGAGAGAGAGAGAGAGAGGGAGGGAGGGAGGGAGGGAGAGAGAGAGAGAGAGAGAGAGGGTGACAGAGATGGATAGAGAAAGAGAACCAGGTTAGAGAGAGAGATGGCGGGGGGGTGGCAGTCATCCTCTTCCCGCCAGCCGGAGACCATAATTCTTCCGCCACCACCGGTCAGGCGGCGGAGAAAGTAAAGGCTGCGGCTGTTGATTGCAGAGACCGCTCCCTCCACTAGAGACCCACCCACCAGAGACAGACAGAGAGGGAAACACAGACAGATGGAAAGAGAAACAGTGTGTGTGAGCATGAAGATATGATGACGACGGAGGCAGGCGTCCCTCGTGAGACACAGAGAGAGAGAGAGAGAGAGAGAGAGAGAGAGGGAGAGAACTTATTGGAGGAGAGAGAGAGGCGATAAAATCTTAAGGTCGCGCCTGGAAACTGGCCTAAATAAAATGACGTTTTGTTTCTAAGCAGCCGTAAATTAAATATTCAGATATTCTAATTTTTTCGTCTTGCTTTTATTCCCCTGGGTCAAAGACGAAACGGGCCTTTCTGTTGTTTGACGAAACATGTCGGAAAAGCTCGGCCGGTATGGGAAATGACGATAAAAGCCCTGGACCCACGTTCTGTACCTCAAGGCATGCCGGTGGGCCCGACACGACAAAATGGACGGCGCCACGTCAACAATAAGCGGTCGGCTCGACAAAGGCAGGCAGGTGCGCCGGTCTGCGGGCGGCCGAAAGCACGAGAGTGGGTCATGTTGCGGAAACTGTTAGCTCTTTTCCAAGAAATGCTCATTAAAAACAAATTATTGTTTTAAAACCCTGAAAGTATTCTTATCAAACCTTCTTACTACGGTGAGGGGCATAAGAGAGAGGATATGAAGGTAATCTGGATAAAATGGGAATAATGATGAATGCTTTTATTCTTAGTTAAATGTTAATAGTATTCTTTTGTCGGTAAAACCACTATTCTTCTAGCGGTCAATTCCTTCCTTCTCCACCCAACGTCCTAACTTCCCTCTCTCTCTCTCTCTCGCGCTGTCCGGATCCGTGCTCTCTGACTGACAGCGTCCTCTCTCTCTCTCTCTCTCTCGGACTGTGTAATCTGTCTCTCTCCGTGAAAAGTTTTAAACTTGAACTCCACAGGCCTAGCCCTAGAGCCCCTGCCCACCCCCCACCCAACGCCCTTTCTTCTTCTCCCCTGGAAGCCACAGTCACTACTACCATTGCCCTCTTTTGCTTGCTTGCTGGAGGATGGACGAGAGGAAAAGGGGGAAGCTGCCGCTGCCCTCCTGCTCCAGCTCCGTCGCCATCTCCGTCTCCGTTTCTTTCTCCGGTTGCCGCGCCCGATGATCGTGAGCTTGCTACAAGTTGAGGCTTCGTCAACCCCGGCAGGACAAGGCCAGGTGATCGGCCGGTGTTCTTCCCTGTTTTTTTTTTCTTTTTTCATCGGTTGGTTGTTGTTTGGTTCTGTTCGTGGTTTTATTTGCTGTATCTTCCCCTATTTTGGCCGAACCTGATCATTCTACGGCTGCCCCGTGGACGACGGCACTTTCTCCGCGCCCACTCGGAGGCTGTCACCTTCATTCCTCTCTCTCTCTCTTCTTTTCCACCCTTTCATCTGGCTTTTCCGCGGGGAATCCTCGGCACTTTCGATCCCTCTTGGATTTCGGAGGTACATTTTCTCTCCGATCGATGTTCTACCGAGATTTGTGTTTTCTGAGTTGTTTCTCTCAGATAGTTTTGCCATTCGACGGAAGATTTCCTTAGCTCGCTCTCTTTCGCTTGTATTTGGGTTTCTCTCATTCTATTCTTCCTGCAATTTCTGGTTCGCGTCATGATCATCCCGATCTCCTTTTGTGATTGGAAGATATTCTCCTCCATCTTGTTTCATCTTTGGCCGCTCCAAGGGACTAGAGCATCAGCATTCCCACGCCTACTAGATCCCCTTCCTCCCATACAGTATTCCGTATCTCATCGATTCATCTCCTTATGGCTTCGAAGGTTTTCACGGACTTACAATCTATGTCTCGCTGTTAGGGATCTTTCTTTGATTTCCCTTTTCCACTTGACTGCTACCTTCCCATTAGCGTTCTAGAAGTAGAGCTTCGCCTTAGGTTTGGACCCTTTCTCACTGAATATATAGTCCGATGACCACAACTATTTCTTGACTTTGCGTGCGCTTTCCTCGCTCAAGGTTGCGTCGAGGGAGAGATCATCGAGGAGAGCTGCCTGAGCTCTGTAGATGGAGCAGTACGAGGTGCTGGAGCAAATAGGGAAAGGGGCCTTCGGCTCTGCTCTCTTGGTGAGGCATAAGCTCGAGAAGAAGAAGTGAGGACATTACTCCCTGATAGTGGCGTGTCGCCTGGTTGTTTCTGGTTTTAACGCCGTGGTTGACGTTCTTTCTTCTTCTGTCTCTCTCTGCTCCAAGGTATGTCCTGAAAAAGATTCGTCTTGCTCGTCAGACTGACCGGTGTCGGAGATCTGCGCACCAGGAGGTTTCTTCCTCGCCCCCACTGTGTCTGCAACATATCTTGTCCGCATCATAATCTACCTTTTTCATCTCCCTTGATGCCTTCTCCGTGGATGCACTGCATATTCTGAGATAATCTCTCCCCTAAATCCGGAGGAGAAAAATTTGTTGGCTCATGCAAATACCAAGATGGTTGAGACTAACCTTGATCATCCGATTTTTATTGACGTCAGAAAGCTTGTGTTGAGCATGCTGTGCCGCATGGGTAGCATCATTTTCTCCTCAAGTATCACGAATTTAAAATTCTTTGATAGCATTGTCCATTATTGGATATGAACTGTAAAACGCTTCTTCAGTTACTTGATCTTCAACGGTTGAGAGAGGCAAGCAACTGTTTAGAAGGTCCAACGTCTCAGTACTTATTTTCTGATTTTGAGTGTTATATTTTTTTTGTGCAGATGGAGCTTATTTCAAAGGTGCGAAACCCATATATTGTTGAATACAAAGACTCTTGGGTGGAGAAGGTAAGCAGCTGCACAATTTCTTGACGGTCTCGCCGTTCATCATTGCCTGTTTTCATTTAGAGTCGTATAATCTGATGACTACCATTTTTGTCACCATTATCTCTACAATAGTTAGTTTTTTTTTACGATGTGTCATATGCCCTCTTTTTGAATGGACGACAACAAGATTCTTTTTTTTTCATATACTTACTATTGAAAAGAAATTTATTATACTCGGTGTGCCATTTTTCTACTATTTACCTCACCCACATCACTTCTCTTGATTTGTCCCCTTCAATCTGACGACTTTGGCATGGCTGGTCCCAGGGATGCTATGTGTGCATAATCATAGGGTACTGTGAGGGAGGAGACATGTAAGGCATCTTTCGATTCAATGCTTTATTCTCACGGACTCCCTTCACACCATTTAACCCTTCCCACCTCTGGTCTTGCAGGTCAGAGGCTATAAAGAAGGCCAATGGAGTGCTCTTCCCAGAGGAGGTCAGTCACTGTGTCGATTAACTGCTTTTGGGTTCCTGGTTAAGCAGACGTTTCTAGTCTTCTGAACCTTTTTCTCTTGATTACCTACTCTCAGAAACTCTGTAAGTGGCTCGTGCAACTGTTGATGGCTCTTGACTACCTCCATGTGAATCACATCCTTCATCGGGATGTCAAGGTTGGTCTCTTCTGACTGCAGCCAGTCTGTTTGTGGGAACTTGCGAGTCTACCATGTGGATGATTCCCATTTGTCTAATATTCTTTTCTTTCTTATAATGTTCAGTGCTCAAATATATTTCTGACAAAAGATCAGGACATACGCCTGGGTTAGTTCATCGGACGATCCCCAACCTTTTATTCTGGGTTTTCTGTGTGGAAGTAAGGAACCTTTGAAGTTTATGTCATATTGCAGGCGATTTCGGACTGGCCAAGATGCTGACGTCAGATGATCTTGCATCATCTGTCAGTTCCTGCTGTCTTTGCTAATGTCATCTTTGGATACAAGAGTATGCTTGGTTCCTGCGTGGTTACATTCATTACCTTCTCGTGCAGGTGGTGGGCACTCCAAGCTACATGTGCCCTGAACTTCTTGCTGACATTCCATACGGATCAAAGTCGGATATTTGGTCTCTGGGTATTGTTCACCTCCCCAGTGCGTTTGGTTTGAGCTCGTCTTTATTTGATGGGAAAGATGTAGTTTCCTCATATCTGCATCTCTCCAGGATGTTGTATATACGAAATGACTGCTCTCAAGCCCGCATTCAAGGCATTTGTAAGTACTGTTTGTTGCATTATTTAAATCATTAATTTTATCATTGTTACATTTTCTTGGGATTTGTTGATTCATGGCATGGTTCCTGCTATCACGCTCCTCTGTTTGTAAGCCTAAATTTTTTCTCGTGATATTGAGAAGAAACGTCTTCGCTCCACTTAGGAATGCAGTTCTCTTGACAATATAGACAAGAAATTGCTATCTATGGCGGTTGAAAAGTTGACCCAGTTCTTTGTTCGAATGCTGTCAATTACTCTGTTAAGAACATGATCATCTTTCATTGTTAAAGGACACTGCTTCTTTCTAAGTTAGAATGTGATCATCTTTCATAATTACTTGAAGCTGCTGCTATACACAGCCTCATAAAATGATCACTACAAGTTTAAAATCCCAAGCATGCTATATTTTTAGCTTTTTTCTTCCTCATTTCTCTTACCTCCATTGATCCCGATCCGAAATTTATCCTCTACATATTCTGAACTGTAGGATATGCAAGCATTAATCAACAAGATCAACAAGTCGATAGTTTCTCCACTCCCGAGCTCATATTCTGGCGCCTTGTAAGTGAAACCTCTTCATTCTCTTTCTTCTCAAGAAGGTTGTGTTGCGAGAAGTCCCATAGATGATCATCAAACCTGACACGGGCCTCTTCTTCTGCCCCATTACAGTAGAGGCCTCATTAGAAGCATGCTGCGAAAGAATCCAGAGCTTCGACCAAGCGTATGCTCTTATCAATCGACCACAATATGGGTCTCTCCTCATAGCTTATAGGTTATTTATTTGTTTATTTATTTTTATTTTTGTGGCCCACAGGCTGCAGATCTGCTGAGGCACCCACACCTCCAGCCCTATGTCCTCCAGATCCACCTGAAGTCTGGCCCAACTGACAAGTCTCTCGCTGGGCAACACCCAGGGAGCACTTACTTCAGGAAGGCCAGATTCCCTGATGGGGAACTTGCTACTCCATATGTCGAGAAAAGGAGGTCTTTTGGCAGTGATAGGACCTTGAGACCCTGCAAACTGCCCACGGACGAAGATTCGATGTGCTCTACGCAGGGCGTCAATGGCTTCATGAACTTCCTCAATAACAAGCTGAGAGACCTGTCATTGGGCAGCAGCCACACCAAGGAGATGGTGGGCATCGATGGGGCGCCGCTGCATGCGACTCCTGATGCGTCCTTCACAACTCCTAGGAGGCAGAGCGAACTCCCGTCGAGGACTGTTCACACCGCTGTGGGTTACAAGAAGGTAAACCTCTTGATCAAATCACAGTGAAGTGCTCGTTGATTTTTGCTATGAGATCCTGACTAGTTTTCTACATAAGCTCCTACTTTATTACTACGGTTATTATCATTAGTAAAATAACAATTGCTCTTGGTCACAAGAAGGTACCCTCTTGATGAAATCACGGTGAGGTGCTCATCGATTTTTTGCTATGAGATCCTAACTAATCTTTTACATAAGCTCCTTCTCCACTACTAAGGTTATTATCGCTGGTAAAGAAAAACAATTGCAGTTGTCTTTTTTAAATTGATTTTTTTTTTTAGGATGAAACTTCCTAACTTGCTCATTGATTCCTAAGGAATGTTTCTCTTTCTCTTAATTTTGTCGTCGAATTTCACCCGGCATCAGATGGTGACCCCAGTGGGGAGATCCGATCGGCAGGGCCGAAGGGCATCCCTCCCTCTGCCTGCTGCCAAGACACCCCGCAAGCCCAACCTGAGCTTCCTTGACAGCATCCGCTCCCCGGATGTCTCTGTGAATGCACCACGAATAGACCGGATCGCCGAGTTCCCCCTTGTCTCCTGCGAAGATCCCCTCCTTCCCCTGGGGTCCGCCGCCAGCACCCCCAACTGCGGTGACCGCTCCATCACCAAGGACAAGTGCACAGTGCAGATCTTCCGGGTGGAAGGCAGCGACCAGAGCGACTTCTCTGATCATTCTCCCGCAGCGGCGGCCGCCGACGCCTCCAGCCGTGGGTCATCGGATTCTCGCCGGCGGCGGTTTGACACGAGCTCGTACCAGCAGCGGGCCGAGGCCCTCGAGGGGCTGCTGGAGTTCAGCGCCAGGCTGCTGCAACAGGGGAGGTACGAGGAGCTGAATGTGCTGCTGCGGCCATTCGGGCCCGGCAAGGTCTCCCCCCGCGAGACGGCCATCTGGTTGACCAAGAGCTTCAAGGAGACGGTGGTCGTCAAGCAAGAAGAAGGGGGTTGACTTACCAGGGGGCCGCTGCTGGTCAGGCGGAGCTATAGCTCCATAGCGTCATCTCTGTTTTGTTGCTGTCGTTGAATCAATGGCCTGTGCATCCTCGGCTGACTTGTGAGTAGTAGTAGTAGGCTTAGTTAGGGGTTTGATATGAGGCTCCCTTCTCTCATCTCACTTGATACCAAACGCCTCGTTTGGTGGAGTACGTTGGAAGATAGTTGACTGCCTTTGGAGAACGGGGTGATCCACCAGGGTCTCTACCTTTTTGCTCTTCTCTGCATCTCAAGACCCAATTGACGTACACATATACATCTAACTATATTTGACGGTTGCTCTTCGGCGGCCTCTGTTTCTTGGCAATTACCTTCTATGCTCCCAACTTCTGAGATCTAGTCATATACACAGTGGCCCACTCGTTGCCGTCGACCTCTAGGACACTACTATCTCGCTTAATCCAACCTCGCGGAGGGTCTCTTAAAGGTGTGGATATTCACATTTAATGTCTAATGACTTCTAGAGTTGTTCTCCAAAAGAAAAAAGGAACCCTTTATTAAGTTCCCTTTAACTACTATCTTCAGGTTCCCTTTAATATCATTATTCAAGATTTCTCAAGCTAAGAAAGCATCAATCATACTATGTATGATTCCCTTAGTTAATAATAATAATAGTAAAACCGTGAAACCCTCCCTCTTGACGTTGACTATGCTCTAAGCGCTGCCAACTTGAGGAATCATTGTGTTCACTTTCTTTTTCTTTTCTTTTTGTATTTCCTCTGCGGGCCCAAATAAGAGGTGCTGATGCCACTCAAAGGTGTTGACCTATAGCCATTTGGGCCACTCAAAATTTCAAATAAGAGGTTGACCTAAAGACTTATAGCCATTTTTCCCATTAGACACTAGCATAATTCACTCTATTATCTCATATAGCTCTAAACATTTTGTTTTAATTAGCTATCCTTCAAAGACACTATTTAAAGAGATGAGTTCATAGAGCAACGAAGATTGGAGTTTATAGTTTGGGTTTGCAGGTAATCGGTGCAACATAGAGAGAGCTTGAGAAATAAACATTAATTCCACATATTTCGTGTCTGTGCCACTGCCCCACCTCTCCTAGTATCGCCATCCCATTTCTCCACCTTTTTTCTTCTCTCTTTTCTTTTCTCTACCATTTATCTCATTCAGCCGCTCCTGAATGTTGTCCTGCATGTGACAATTTGCCTCCTAGTTTGTCATCCTCTCCTATGCTATTATTACCTTTGTCCATGCCCCACTTGTTTGAGTACTAGTTTTTTCAATGTTGCGCTTGGACATATTCATGCTATACACTTCTCCAATGCTATTATTAGTGTACTTGCTTGCAGTATGGCTTTCATTGATACTAAAATTTGTTGGCCCTTGCCTTCTCGGATCATTAAATTGACCATAGTTTCCTTAACAAATCATAGTATTTTATATTGACTCAACTTGTGTGAAGCTTTACTCATCGTACTTATTCTCTTCTTTCAATTTATAGATGATTCATTAATAAGTATGCCAAGATCTTATGTAGTTTTAAAGTTATAATATCTTTTATGTCCTGTATTACATCAGAAACTCTCCAAGACCTATATAATCTAACTTTGGATAACCTTGTAATTCTTAAACTAAAACTGCATTGTATGAGTAATACATTTTAGAAACATGCTACAAGTGTAGCAGCACAACGTGGCACACCATGTAAAATCAATATGATAATATTATTTTTTCCAAAATACTAAGTTCAATAAAAATATGTTTATTTTTGTCATTAGATTTATCCAAAAAAAGGAAAATTTTAAAATCAAAGGTGGCCAAATGAATATGAGAATAGAGAGTATTGACTCTCAAAGCATTGGTGTTAACACTTGAAAACCAAACATAGTAAACTCAAGCTAACCTTGAATGGGAAAGAAAACTGTCATAATAGTGAACTCCTAAGTATTCTATTTGGCTGAAATATGGCAGTTATAAATTTATAACTACGATTTGTTCAAAATAGGATGTCTAATAGTCACAAATAGTACAGCTTCCTAGCCACAAGTAAAGTATAATTTGAAGTAGCTAGTATGGAATTTCGAGTTAAAATAGAGAAATAGTCAAACAGAGTACACATTTGAATTTCAAAATCAGGAAACACATGTTTTTAGCTTGTCAAGGTTCTAATTATGTGAAATATTCTAAGAGAAGTTTGAGTCATTTAAAGTGCCTTCAGCTGTAGTAAACACTTGTATTCATTTTATGATTTATATTGCATTATTTGCAAAGTAGCTATTGACCGAAGCTTGAAATTTGGACGTACCTTTGGATTCTATTTCAATTCTAAATAAGATTTGATTAATATCTAGATGTTACATAGATATGTTAATTAATAACCAAGCATTAAATGTAGCAGTTAACAAGGCTCACATTACATCTTTGGCCAATGTTGTGTAACAATAAATAAGAGTGCCATGCTTGAAGCCACAAAATCACTTGGATATGATAATAGGGAATAGGCTCTATACTTAGAGGTAAGAAGCAAGTACAGCCAATATCTAATTCATTGTGTTACATGTAGGTGTAGACGTAATACAGTAGTTTTGGCGTATCCACTGCAATTAACTTGTATGTATCGCCAACTCTCTAGTGATTCCTACACGAGGAAATCCTTCTACTTAGCAAAAAAAAAATGAAATGTTTGGTGAACCAAATGAGATCAAGTCTGCAATTGAACTTGATGGAGTTTATTGAAGTTAGATCACAAGATGAACAGATAGATATTGGTGATTTCCCATAAATAGAAAAGAGCATCTCCACTGAGTTATTAGTCAGTTGGATCTTGAGAAACTAATGAAAGTATTTTTCAAAATTCTTCTTTCCCACCTACTACATATTAGTTGAAAATTAAATTTATTCATGTAAATGATCATATAGACATAAGTGACGTGACTTAGTCATTGTATAGTAAATCACATAAATTTAAAATTTATAAAACTAGAAAATATGAATTTTCAGATATTTTTAAAGTATTTATGAAAAAATATATCGATTATAATTTAATAAAATTTCAAAAAATAACAGTAATTGTCGATCACATAGATGTAATATAATATCTAGTAATTATTCAGAATTTTCCTCAAAGAATACTATTTTCTATGAATTTTATACTAGGAAATAAAAAGGAAATATATTTAAAATTCACGAAAAAGGGAAATAAGGGTGCAGACGTCAAGATGACGTCAACGCCCGGCAAACGCGAATCGGGCGAAAACAAAGTTCTACCTGGCAATTCTTATGTAAGTGATTACAGACGATTTAATTGATCAAATTAAGATCTATAAAAGCGAGAAGAATTGTAATGAAATGAAGTATATCTTGGTAAATTTAAAATCAACAAATTATCACTAAATGAAATGGAAATTAAGTTGAAAACAGGAAACTAGAGTTCCGGCATCGCAGCGGCGATGCATCGGTGATGCACTAAAATCCTGAGCATTCGAGAGGATCGTCGTGCAGTGTCCATAGCCTTAAAGGCTCTCCTTGGATAAGGATGACGTGGGCAATCTCTAGATCTCCTTGCGAAGTCTAGATATCAATGAAATGGGTCGTCGAATCGTCTCTGGTGGCTGTCACCCAGCGGAGTAGAAAAAACGGTGACTTTGCGGCTCTCGGGTGGCTGTCACCCGACGAATAGGAGCTGGATGGAGGTGGGACGCATGTCAAGGAGCTTCATCCTCAGGTCCGCGTAGCAAGAGAAGGCTCTTCATCGCATCTAGTACGCTCTCAAGAGGTGGCGACTCGTCTTCCGATGGATTGTCCTCTTCTTGACGACAGCTTGTTCGTCGATCAATCGGAGATGCTTTACTCAATAGATTCGCAATCCTTTTATTGCGAATCATTCAGCAATTTTCTACGAATCACATTGATGAGATTTTAGCTGATGATCCAACAATTCTGATTGCTTAATCCTTCACCGACGATCTGAAGGAAAGTCACGATAATCAGATAGAAAATATGAATTTTGGCTCTAGGAGGATTCGAACCCACGCTGGTTGCTCGGCCTTTTTGGGGAAGGTGTGACGCAGGTTTAATCCCACATCGCTTGTGCGACGAAGTGTCTGGTGAATATATAGTAATATTACATTTTTGATCAAGTTTCTTTCTCGCGCATGTACGACCACTCCTTACCCCACAACTGGCTAGCTATTGGTGATGTGGAAGGGGGGTGGCGCACATGTGCCTCTATCGGTCCAAGCCACTCGAGCCCCTATTCTCGGCTACTCCCCGACTGCGCTTCCGACCTGCTTCCAAGCCCAGCTGGCCGGCGGGTCCCCCCCATTTTGTCTTATTTTTATTTTTATTTCTTTTTCTTCAGTTATCTCAAAAGTAAGACTGTAAAAATCATATAAATTCGTATAAAATCACATAATTACTCAAAAATTCACATTAATCAACTGAAAACCACTTTTCACACTTTAACACAAATATAAGTCTATTTATCATGAGTTAAGACTAAAACTATATTATTTACTAATTATTAACTCATGATAATAAAGACTTATCAGACTTGACATAAAAGCCAAGAGGAGATGATTTGTTCATTTCTCTCACTTGGAAGAACCTAGTCATGATCATTAACATATTACTCTCTTTGCCTATGATTTTCATGGTTTATGAAAAATAAAAGGATAATACTAACTTGAGTATATTTCCTGAATTATTGGAACAATCTGTAAAATTTTAAGGGCTTAACATTCATGTTAAGAAACAAATTGGGCATGCAATCAAAGCTGGGGTAACTCACACGTTTCCTAATTTTCTTGTTCGTGGCTAGAACATCTTAAAATCAAATAATCAACTTTTTTATTTTAAGGTTGAGTTAGTGGGTCAGATTGCTGCATGGAAGCATTGAGAGGTGTTGATCCCCTCATTCCCCCGTTAAATACCACTCTCTCTCTCTCTCTCTCTCTCATATTAGGCTTTTTAAAGTTCCCTTGCTTGTGATTACTAAAGCGTAGACGAGGCTACAGACAAAGTGTCTCTTCCTCTTCGTATCTACATATCTTATATTACAGCCACTCTCAAAAGGAAACGGGAGGAAGCCCTAAAAGAGTATGGCTACGTCGAAAGCGCGGAAGCCATGCATGAGGAGAAGAGTGAAGAATCTCACAGACGCGGATACTACCAGAACTGTAAAAAGCTGGTGAGCTAATGGCGACCGCGGTTCCTAGACATCTGCGTTCTCGTTCAACCTCGCTGCCGCTTCTACGGACGCTGCCACGCCGGTGGGGTGAGTTGTCATGGCCGGGTTGTTCCTCATCTCCGCTCTCGCCACCCTCTCCGCGTCCTCCCTCGTCACCGGCTTGTCCGCCGGTAGCTTCATTGACGCGTCCTGCATCGCCGCCGGCGGTAGTGTAAGTGTACGACAATGGACGGTGGTCCTGGATGGACCGGATCGTCGAACTGAAGAAAAGATTTGGGAGGAAGAGAGGGCACCGAGAGGACTTCTCCCAGGGTGGTTCTTTCAGAAGAAGCCGGCGGCACGCGAGCGTTGATACTCGCCGCCGACTGCGCCTGCGCTCCCACCCCTCCGGGCAGCGTCTCGTTCAGCCCCGTCGCCCTCATCTCCGCCGCCTGAATCGCCGCCGCGTCGCTCCGGTCTACCAGCTTCTCCCCCTCCGATAGAGCAGCCGCCTCAAGGGCCTCTCCGATTGTCAACTTGCCCGAACCCAAGACCTCCGCCGGACAACCAGACGCCAACGGGGTGGGCATCTCGTACCCACCCACAGTCTGCAACGACGACAATACAGACACAGAGAGAGAGAGAGAAGAAATAGAATAGAAGCAAGAGAGAAGCCGAGAACTCTATACCTGGTCGCCGATGGTCTCAGTGACAGTATGACGGCCGGGAACGTTGGTCTCGACAACGCCGACGCCTTGCTCAGAGACGAAGCCGCTGACCTGGCCATGGCCAACGTGGCCGGTGCGCTCATTTCGGGCGGCGGCAGACTGCATGACGGCGGCGGGGCCGCCCTTCAAGGTCTTCCCTGTGGCGATATTCTCGGCGCTCTGCATGAGGGCCGCGTCTCCGGAGGCGACGGCCTCCTCCGCCAGCTCCCCCTGCACTCCGAGGAATACGTCCCCGTAACGGATGGGCTGCTCCTGGCTCATGCGTCCGAAGGTCAATAGCAACTCTCTCTCTCTCTCTCTCTCTCTCTCTCTCTCTCTCGACCAGCGGTTGATAGGGGAGGGGAGAGAAAGTTAGCAATGCAGTAGCATCAGCTGTCTGGTCTTATGTAGAAGATGAATGGATTCAGTCTGTTCTCTCTAGGTCGACACGTTTATGCACATATGTAATCTTCTCGATAGCAAACGTCGCTATCTCTGGCACGTGTTGGATGATGTTTCTAACGCCGCCATAGGGAATCTCCAATTTAACATAATAACTCTACACGTTTTCCCCGTCTATGCTGTCCGATCCGATTTCGGATAAGATTATTCTGATCGGTAAGTCAGTAGGAAGAGATCCACGATGGATGTAGCAAGAACCGTCTGATTGTTATCAGAAGGATCAAAGCCTTCTGACGGCGACGGGGGCTGACGATGGTAGCCAAATGAGAGATCAATCGGAAATAATTTTATCACCATTCCATGAGAAGACGCATATTTCTTGAATTGATGTCTAAATTGCACTCCAACATCTCTAAACGTGGATACATTTCGGGTGTAAAAAATACCTGAGCAACGCATCTTTTAATGCCTTTTGAATTATTTTTTAGCTATCGAAACAAATTGAATTACTGACTTTGACATTCTATACCATAACTTTTCATTTCATGAAAATGTTACTCCGTTTGATTTCTCCATCTCTCATATTTACTCACTCGCTAGAGATCTGTGTTGGATCAGATCACATAAGCAACAGATACTACGATGAATCAAGGCTGAAAGAATGAAATAGATTTGAACTCACTGAAATTCCATATTAAGCTAATTTAGCCTTCCTTTGCGAGAGATAGACAGAGAGAGAGAGAGAGGAGGGGCTACATAATCAATAAAACCGTGCTATTGTTAAATTTCCAGTTCATATTTATACCAATGTGATCTCATTAGAAATTACAAAGATACCCCGTCAACAAAAAAAAGAGATAAGACAGCAGTGCAGTTTCTCCCCCTCCTAGCTCTTTTCATCTCATTGGCCTCTTTCGTGCTCCAATAAGCAGTTGTTGCCAGGCCAAAATTATAGGTATGAATCATAACTCGACAATCTCCACCTTTACTAATATAATCATATCTGATTATCTACTACCAAGGTACAGTATATAATAGTGGCTGAAACTGCAAATAATGACTTTCAAATAGGACTAGTCAAGAAACTTTGAATTGAGCATGGTAGAGTCCCGATATACTGCAACAATTAGATTGCCATTTAATTAGCAAAGAATCAAATGTATCATATAAAGACAACTCCATGATGTGAGATTCAAAAAACCAAGGAGTTTGACTTTTAAAGTGACAAGTTCTTAGAGAAACTCACACAATAAAAAATATTGTGGATATAATGATTGAGCTAGTTAGATAAGAGATGTTCAAGTGTTACTTGGACTTAATCTAAATGTCAACATGTTGAAAGAAGATCTACCTTTTCTAAAAGATGTTCAAGATGGAGTGTAATTAAGATATCTCCAATATGGATGAGATTTTCAACACATTAGTTTTCTTGCAATATTACATGCATATCTCTTCCAGATTGCATGTAGGTGTACATCTATAAATCTCACTACAGATGTTGAACCCTAATTCTAAGATAAGAACAAAATCTATAACTCCTTTGAGGTATCTAAAAGATTCATTTCACTACTTTCAAATGATCATTTCTTCAATTTGCCAGAAATATACTCATTGTAGAAACCGATGAGTTATATTAGGCTTAGGAAAAGCTGGACATATTAAGTATCATATTCAATAGTATCCTATCACATTAGTACAGGGTATCAAACTCATTTCTTCAACTTCTATTTCTATTTTCAGACTTTGACTTACAAATAATCTAAAGTGATTTGCTATAGGCATGCTAACTTATTTAGTATCTCTCATACCAATTTTCAGCACTTTGTTGATGTATTTATTGATATATCCATTGTTGATTTCTTGTGTGCTTCTATGAATCTACAGAATAATTTATTTTACATGTGATCCATCATCAAGGAGTTTTAGATAAATACAAGAATCTTTTTCATAATGGGTGTTAGATAATCTAAACTATAGGGTTGAATTCTTTTATCCTTGACTTGGACATTGTTTCTATAAAGAGGCTTCAGCAACCAACAAATAAGGTATTTTAAGCCTTGTTCCTTGAACCCTTCAATATGCTCCATGTAAATGATTTTCTCAAATCACCATAGAAGAATGCAATGTTCACATCCATGTACTCTAAGACTATATATCATTGGCTACATTATTTAGCACTATTCTGATTAATAAATACTTTATTATTAGAAAAAAATACGTATATCTTTCTTGTTGTTGCCTCAATTAAACCCTAAAAAACACCAAAGTAGTAACGAACAAGTAATAAACTCTAGAATATAGGAGGTCTTTTCAGAGGACCCCTAACTTCTTTGGGGCCACAACCCCAATCTCACGAAAAAAACTTCTCCCCCCACCTTCTACCTCAACCCTCTCCTAAGTGAGTCTCCTTAGCCAAGGAGTAAGACTTTATTAATTTTAATAGGCCCTACTCTTGGACTATTTGGAATCATTTCTATGTCCTCAAGTTGGACTCTTGGGACCTTACTGACGTGACTTAGTCATTGTATAGTAAATCATGCAAATTTCAAATTTATAAAATTAGAAAATATAAAAATGATCGCTATTTTTAGAAGTTTTATTGAATTATAATTGTTATATTTGTTCAAAAATACTTCTAAATATCTGAAAATTCATATTTTCTAGTTTTATAAATTTTAAATTTACGTGATTTACTATACAATGACTAAGTCACGTCAAATTTTGGCGTCATTGTCAGGGATGTATTGTATAATATTTAGTATTTTTCTATTTTTCTCTTAGAGTACAAAAAAAATAAAAAATTAACTCTTGTTTTCTTTTCTTCTTGCTGACTATTTTTTTAAAAAAAAAAGAAATGAACAGAAGCAAGGCAAGGACTAGAGCATACTGAAGGAGGGTAACAATTACTAAACTTTTTCTCTCAAATTTATTAATTTTTTATGCATGGTAGAAGATCCTTGCATCCAAGGCTAGAAAATTCTTTCATTATTTCATTCAAAACTAAAAATCCGAAAGAAAAATAATTTTGATGAATCCTGAAGGAAGTACAAGTCAAATTGAGAACAATCCTATGGCCATGAAAAATTATTATATCCCTGAATCATTTCAAAGAGCATCTAATATTAGAGTCCCATTAGCACCCATTGTTAAATTCGTAATAAATCTAGGAATTTTTCAAATGCTCCCTAATTTTCATGGATTGCCTTTAGAGGAACCTCATCAGCACTTAGAAAAATTTTATATGGTCTATGATTTAGTTAATTTCCCTCAAGTTACACCGAAAATTATTAAGATGAAATTATTTCCTCATACACTTAGGGACAAAGCTAGTCATTGACTATCCACATTAGATAGAGAATTAACTAGTTGGAAAAACATAGAACACGCCTTTCTTCAAAAAAATTATCCCTTAGGAAAAACTCAAAATATGAGAAAACATATATGGAGTTTTTCTCAAAGACTAGGAGAAATTTTACATGAGACATGGAAAAAATTCAAAGATTTACTTAGAAAGTGTCCACATCATGTTATACCCAAGTGGTAGCTCAATAGAATTTTTTATGATGGATTATTAGAACAACATAGAAATATGGTTGATTCTATATGTGGAAGAGCTTTTATGGAGAAAATCTCTGATGAGACTTACAGTCTTTATGAGAATTTAAGTGAAAATTCTAGAGATCAAGCCTCTTTTGAATTATATGATAGGGATAAGAAGAGAGGAATTTATGAATTGTATCATGATGATGATTCTAATTTAAGAAAGAAAGTTAATTAGATTAATCAAATATTAGAAAAACTTGATTTACTTATTGAGAATATTAGAATGCCTCCTAACCTTCAATTGAATGCATCTAGTACATATCCTATGCATGGTGAAAATGATAATTTTGAATTTCAATATTATAATCAATCATTTCATCCTAGGAAACCCAAATAATCTTCAAAATCTAGAAGCACTTAGATCCAATTCAAATTTTGAATTTTGTCTAAAATAAGAACACAGATTTCAGAAAAATCAGCCCTCTCAAATCCAACTTGATGCTATGAAAATGATGCAACAAACTATGAATCAAATGATGTTGCACCAAAAACAAATTATAGAGGCTTTTGAGAATAGGAGAGAAGAGGGACAGCCACCTAGTTAGCTTATAGAAAATTCAGGAAACTATTCGACAGTAAGATTTCAGCAAGGAGAGTCTAGCTGGATAAATTTAGAAAAAAACCCATGAAATGAAAATGTTAGGATAGTGAATACATTAAGTGAGAATATTTTACTTGATCCTTATTTCTAATTATTAGAAGAAATTAATGAGCCATTAGAAGTAAATGAAAATATTAAAGCTGAAAATATAGTAGCAGAAAATTTGAATAAAATTATTTATTGCTCACAATTGATGAATGAATATAATGAGGATGATGAGGAGAAAGAGCCCTTAGATGAAGAAATAGCAGCTGATCATGGAAGAATCATCTAAATTTTAGTAGAAGGGAGTAAAGATAGAAATAAAGAAAAACATATTTTAGGTAAGGAAAAATCAATTGATTTGAGAGATGTAAGAGACAAAATTAATAAATCTAATCATAATTTTGCAGCCATGGATGTTGATAGTGAGGATAATGATGTACATCATATACTAAAATTAAAAGATAGCTCTTGAGAAGATGAAGAATTTGATGAGTTGAGAAACGAAAAGCTAGAAAAAGAGTTGATTCAACTAATGGGGAGAAATGAAAATAATGAATATAAATATAGAGATAATTTTGGAGGAGAAAATTTGAACTTTATTGACTTCATTAGATCTGAGATTAAAGAAAATCCTTCCATCCTTCAAAACCCACAGCCTATTAGAATTATTTCTAAGCTTGAAATATTTCACTCCTTGCAAATTGAACAAATATGTCTGGAAGATAAAATGGAGCAGGGGAAGATTATGCAGATAAAAGAAGACATTAAGAAATGGGTGAGTGGAAGAATTAGAGATATCAATTTAGATGAAAAGAATTTAGATTAGGTAAGAGTTAATTTGAAAATTATATGGCTTGATCACATTTTATGGCCTATTAATAGAAAGTATTTATTAATGAATGAGAACCTTACAATACAAGATAGAAATGAGGAAAGATTCTTTTCAAAATGGAAATATTATTTTTGGGAAAATTTTGTTAATTTCCATTTTGTTTTGGCTGAAAGTATGTCAAGGTATATATATGAAGTATATGAATTTATGCTAAATCTGAAAAAGAATATCATGAAACTTACCTTGGGATACAAATATATTTTGATGGCCATAGATCATCTTATATGATCTAAGAGTTGTCCAACTGAAGACATTAAATTCAGCGCTGCATGGGAGGCAACCCATGGTTTTTATTTCATTCTGTTTGATTTTTTTTATGCTCTGTTTTTCTTAGAATTTTGCAATACTTGTTTCTGTATTTGTTTTTTTCAAAAATGTGCAGGAGGAGTGTAAGATGAAGTGGAAAATTGAAAACAAGGTTGAGGTGACGTCTTTCTGAGCTTTATCATTTATGACAACATTTTTAATGCTAAAATTTGCATATATGTATGCTTCACTTGAAAATTATATTTTCTGCATATTATGTTTCGATTTTTCTGTGTCATTGAGGACAATGTCATTTTTAAGTTGGGGGGTGAAGTATTCATTATTAATTTATGTTGTAGGACGATTAAGAACATGTGTTTGTATTTTATTTTTATTTTTTCATGATCACTTAGAACAGCAACTAAAAAAATAAAAATAAAATAAAATTCAGAAAAACTACAGCATCTATTTTCTGGTTTTCTATCAAGAACAACAGAGTGTCAAAAAAAGTAGACAAAAAACAGCCTGAAATTTAAAATTCTAGAGACCCTTTTCTCACATTTCAATCCCCTAGACATATATTACTGAAATTCGAAATTACAGCTATAAAGAGGATAGTTTTGATTTATTTTTGACAAATTTATTATTGCTAAAAACAGAATTGAAAACAGAAAACAAAACTATCAGAACTATCTAATTTATAAATTTCTTACATCATATTGCATACATGAAAAATTAAATCAATTAGATTGATTGATACCAAAATATACTAGAAAGATTATTATTGAGTTAAAAGAATGATCTAGTAGCATGAAATGTTGGAATACTTGATAAGTCTTCATTATCATGAGTTAATAATTAATAAATAATATAGTTTTAGCCTTAGCTCATGATAAATAGACTTATATTTGTGTTAAAGTGTGAAAAGTGGTTTTCAGTTGATTAATGTGAATTTTTGGGTAATTATATGATTTTATACAAATTTATATGATTTTTACAGTCTTACTTTTGAGATAAATAAAGAAAAAGAAATAAAAATAAAAATATAACAAAAGGGGGGGACCCGCCGGCCAGCCAGGCCCACAAGTGGGTCGGAAGTGCAGTCAGGGAGGAGCTGTGAGCAGGGGCTCGAGCAGCTTGTACCGATAGGGGCACCTATGCGCCACTCCCCTTCCACGTCACCGGTGGCCAGCCAGTTGTGGGGCAAGGAGTGGTCGTACACGTGTGAGAAAAGGACTTGATCAAAAATGTAATATTATTATATATTCGCCAGAAACTTCGGCGCACAATTGATGTGGGACTAAACCCATGTCACACCCTCCCTAGAAAGGGTAGGGCAACTGGCGCGGGTTCGAATCTTCCTAGAGCCAAAACTCATATTTTTTATCTGATTATCGCGACTTTCCTGCAGATCCCTAGTGAAGGATTAAGTAACTAGAATCGCTGGATCAAATTGGCAAAAATCTCGTCAATGCGATTCGTGGAGCGTTGTTACTAAAATTGCTGAACAATTCACGATAAAAGGATCGTGAATCCATCGAGTAAAGCATCTCTAGTTGATCGACGAACAAGCCGTCGTCGAAAAGAGGACGATCCGCCGGCAGATGAGTCGCCACCTCTTGAGAGCGTACCGGATGCGATGAAGAGCCTCCTCTTGCTGCGCAGACTTGAGGATGAAGCTCCTTGACACGCGCCCCATCTCCATCTAGCTCCTCTCCGGCATGTGACAATCGCCGGAGAGCCGCAAAGTCGCCATTTTTCTACTCCGCCAGGTGACAGCCGCCGGAGACGATTCGACGACCCATTTCATTGATCTCTAGACTTCGCAAGGAGATCTAGAGATTGCTTGCGTCGTCCTTGTCCAAGAAAGCCTTCGAGGCCGTGGACACTGCACAATGATCCTCCCGAATGCTCAAGATTCTGGTGCATCGCTGACGCATTGCCACTGCGACGTTGGAACTTTATTTTCCTACTTTCAACTTAATTTCTGTTTCATTTAATGATAATTTGTTGATTTTAAATTTACCAAGATATACTTCATTTCATTACGATTCTTTCGACTTTTATAGATTTTAATTTGATCAATTAAATCGTCTGTAATCGTTTACATAAGAATCACCGGACGGAACTCTATTTCTACCCAATTTGCGTTCGCTAGGTGTTGACGTCATCTTGACGTTCGCACCCTTATTTTTCTTTTTTTGTGAATTTTAAATATATTTCCTTTTTATTTCTTAGTATAAAATTCATAGAAAATAGTATTCTTTGAAGAAAATTTTGAATAATTACCAGGTATTATATTACATCCTTGTGATCGACTTGGAAAATTATCGCTATTTTTGAAAGTTTTATTGAATTATACTTGATATATTTGTTCAGAAATACTTCTAAATATCTGAAAATTCATATTTTCTAGTTTTATAAATTTTAAATTTGCGTGATTTACTATACAACGACTAAGTCACGTCAAATTTTGGCACCCCACCTTTATCCAGCTCCTCTTCGTTGGGTGACAGTCGCCGGAGAGCCGCAAAGTTGCCATTTTTCTGCTCTGCCAGGTGACAGCCGTCAGAGATGATTCGACGACCCATTTCATTGATCTTTAGACTTTGCAAGGAGATCTAGAGATTGCCCACATCATCCTTATCCAAGGAGAGCCTTCGAGGCCATGGACACTATACGACGATCCTCTTGAACACTCAGGATTCTGGTGCATCGCCGACGCATCGCCGCCGCGACATTGGAACTCTGTTTTCCTACTTTCAACTTAATTTCCATTTCATTTAATGATAATTTGTTGATTTTAAATTTTTCAAGATATACTTCACTTCATAATGATTCTTTCGACTTTTACAGATTTTAATTTCATCAATTAAATCGTCTATAATCGCTTGTGTTCGCCAGGCACTGATGTCATCCTGACGTCCGCACCCTTATTTTCCTTTTTTGTGAATTTTAAATATATTTCCTTTTAATTTCTTAGTATAAAATTCATAGAAAATAGTATTCTTTGAGGAAAATTCTGAATAATTACCAGATATTATATTACATCCCTATGATCGACCTTGAAAATTATTGTTATTTTTGAAAATTTTATTGAATTATACTTTATATATTTGTTCAAAAATACTTCTAAATATCTGAAAATTCGTATTTTCTAGTTTTATAAATTTTAAATTTGTGTGATTTACTATACAACGACTAAGTCACATCAATCGTCCTCTTCCTGACAATAGCTTGTTCATCGATCAATCAAAGATAATTTACTTGATCGATTCGCGATCTTTTAATCGTGAATTGTTCAGCAATTTTAGTAACAATGCTCCATGAATTACATTGACGAGATTTTTGCTATTGATCTAGCGATTCTGGCGGCTTAATCCTTCACCGGTGATCTGTAGGAAAGTCGCGATAATCAGATAAAAATATGAGTTTTGGCTCTAATAGGATTCGAACCCGCACCAGTTGCCTGCTTATATGAGAGAGATTGAAATAAGTACTCTAATATCTTTATCAAGTGATGTCATCATGGTATATCTCTATTATAACTAAGGGGTAGTTTAGGTATTAAAATTGTTGAAGACTTTGGGGGGTTTAATCCCACATCACTTGTGCATCGAAGTTTTGGATGAATATATAGTAATATCATCTTTGTAAGCAATGAGTCCCTTTCTCCCACGTAATAACCACTCCTTGCCCCACAATCGGCTAGCCACCAGTGACGTAGAAGGGGAGGGCGCACATGTGCTCCCATCTGTCTTTAGTCACTCGAGCCCCTACTCACAGCTCCCCCTAAATGTGCTTTCAACTTGGTTGCGAGCCTAGCTGGCCGGCGGGTCCCCTCCTTTTGTTATATTTTTACTTTAATTTCTTTTTTTTCATTTATCTCAAAAATAGGACTATAAAAATCATATAAATTCCTATAAAATTATATAATTAGCCAAAAATTCACGTTAATCAAATAAAAACCACTTTTCACAATTTAACACAAATATAAGTCTATTTATCATGAGTCAGGGCTAAAACTATATTATTTACTAATTATTAACTCATGATAATGAAGACTTATCACACTCCTTGGAATAACAATCTAAACTTCATTTCTTCTATTCACATCTTTATCACTTCTTCACTCATAGATATATTTACAAGATGTTTTAATTATCAATACTCATCTAAGAATAATATTGATCTTACATTTCCTTTTTTCTATGGCTTGATTTTTGAAATTTGCACTATATTTCTTATATATATATATATATGTATATATATATATATATAGTGGATAAGTAGCTTTTCCTATAGACAAATTTTGACAATAAGAATGATGTCTTGCACCCTCCATGTGTACTTTTTATTTTCATGCCTTTCGCTTTATCCACTTACTTTGCAGCAAATGTTTTTCTATGCACAATTTTCAACAATGAGAATGATGTCTCACACCCTCCATGTGTACTCTTCATTTCTAGATTTTTCACATTGGTCTTTTTATTTTTTTTGAAATAAGTGATTTCTCCTCACAAGTCCTATAGATCAAGATTGGAAACTCTCCATTAAACTCAAATGATCAATCAAATTTTCACATCAAGTAAATATTATCCATCAAGATCATGAAGTAAAAATCTATAAAATTAAATCCATGTTATCTATCATGTATCAAAAGAGTATTCCAACATTTCATGTTATTAAATCATTCTTTTAGCTCAATAATAATCTTCCTAGTATCTTTTGGTATCAATCAATCTACTTGATTTAATTTTTGGGCATGCAATATGATGTAAGAAATTTGTAAATTAGATAGTTCTAACAGTTTTACTTTCTATTTTTAGTTCTATTTTCAGTTCTATTTTTAACAACAATAAATTTGTCAAAAATAAATCAAAATTATCCTTTTTATAGTTGTAATTTCGAATTTCAGTAATATCTGTCCAAGGGATTGAAATGTGAGAAAAAGGTATCTAGAATTTTAAATTTTGGGCTGTTTTTTTCTACTATAGAAAACTAGAAAATAGATGTTGTAGTTTTTCTGAAAAAAAAAATTAATTGCTGTTCTAAGTGAGCATGAAAAAAAATGTAAACACATGTTCTTAATTGTCATAGAGCATAAATTAAGAATTAATACTTCACTCCCCAACTTAAAAATGACATTGTCCTCAATGACACAGAAAAATTAGAACAGAATATGCAGAAAATATAATTTTCAAGTGAAGCATGCATATATACAAAGTTAAGAACTAAAAATGTTATTATAAATGATAAAGCTCAAAAAGACATCACCTCAATTCGTTTTTAATTTTCCACTTCATCTTACACTCCTCCTGTACTTTTTTGAAGAAAAAAAAACCAAATACAGAAACAAGTACTGAGAAATTCTAAGAAAAATAGAGCTTTAAAAAAATAGAATGAAATAAAAACCATAGGTTGCCTCCCATGCAGCGCTAAATTTAATATCTCCAGTTGGACATATTAATCTTACTCTTAAATTTCTTTTAATAATAATTTTTCTTTTTCTGCAAGGTGTTCATGTTCTATGTAATGTTTAAGCCGTTGTCCATTTATCTTAAAGTTATGATCATTTTTAGGATCTTTAATCATTACAGCCCCATGATCATATGTTTCTTCCACCACATAAAGCCCTGTCCATTTTGATTTTAATTTTCCTGAGAATAATTTCAGCCTAGAATCATATAAGCACACTTTTTGTCCAACATCAATTTTTTTTCTACCATTCATAGAATAATTTGAATTATTTGAATATAAGCCTAGAATAATTATTTTCACCATTCATAGGACATGTATTATTTGAATTAAATTGAAGGTTAAGAGGCTTTCTAATATTGTCAATAAGTAAATCAGGTTTTTCTAATCTTTAATTAATCTGATTAACCTCATTTTGTAAATTAGAATTATTTTGATGATGCAATTCATACATTCCTCTCTCTTCTTATCCCTGTCATATAATTCAAAAGAGGCTTGATCTCTAGAATTTTCACTTAAATTCTCATAAAGACTAAAAATCTCATCATGAGATTTTCTCCATAAAAGCTCCTCCACATATAGAATCAACCATATTTCTATGTTGTTCTAATAATTCATCAAAAAAAATTCTATTGAGCTACCACTTGGGTATAGCATGATGAGGACACTTTCTAAGTAAATCTTTGAACTTTTTCTATATCTCATGTAAAGTTTCTCCTAGTCTTTAAGAAAAACTCTATATGTGTTTTCTCATATTTTGAGTTTTTCCTAAGAGATAAAATTTTTGAATAAAGACATATTCTATATATTTGTAACTAGTTAATTCTCTATCTAATGTGGATAGCCAATGACTAACTTTGTCCCTAAGTGTATGAGGAAATAATTTCATCTTAATAATTTCCGGTGTCACTTGAGGGAGATTAACTAAATCACAAACCATATTAAATTTTTCTAAATGTTGATGAGGTTCCTCCAAAGGCAATCTATGAAAATTAGGGAGCATTTGAAACATTCTTAGATTTATTTCAAATTTAACAGTGGGTGTTAATGGGACTCTAATATTAGATGCTCTTTGAAGTGAATCAGGGATATAATAATTTTTCATGGCCATATGATTGTTCTCAATTTGACCTATACTTCTTTTAGGATCTATCAAAATTAATTTTTCTTTCAGATTTTTAGTTTTAAATGAAATAGTGAAATGATTTTCTAGCCTTGGATGCAAAGATCTTCTACCATGCATAAAAATCAATAAATTCGAAGAAAAAGTTTAATAATTATTACCCTCCTTCAATATACTACAGTCCTTGCCTTGCTTCTCTTTATTCTTTTCTTTTAAAAAAAATTGACAAGAAGAAAAAAAAAAGAGTTCATTTTTTTGTGTACTCTTAGAGAAAAATAAAAAAAATACTAAATATTATCTAATACATCTCCGGCAACGGCGCCAAAATTTCATGTGACTTAGTTGTTGTATAGTAAATCACACAAACTTAAAATTTATCAAACTAGAAAATACTAATTTTTAGATATTTAGAAATATTTCTAAAAAAATATATCAATTATAATTCAATAAAACTTTCAAAAATAGCGGTAATTTTTCAGGTTGATCATAGGGATGTAATATAATATCGGTAATTTTTCAGAATTTTTCTCAAAGAATATGATTTTTGTATGAATTTTATACTAAGAAATGAAAATAAAATCTATTTAAAATTTACAAAAAAGAAAAATAAGGGTGCGAACGTCAAAATAACGTCAGCATTCAACGAACGCAAATTAAATGAAAACAGAGTTTTGTCTGGTCATTCTTACGTTAGCGATTACAGATAATTTAATTGATCAAATTAAGATCTGTAAAAGCCAAAAGAATCATAATTGAATGAAGTATAGCTTAGTAAATTTAAATTATATAACTTATCATTAAATGAAGCAAATATTAAGTTCAAAGTAAGAAAAATAGAGTTCTAACGTCGTAGTAGCGATACATCGACGATGCATCGGAATCCTTAGCATTCGGGAGGATCATCATGTAGTGTTCACTGCCTCGAAGGCTCTCTTTAGACAAAGACGATGTGGGTAATCTCTAGATCTCCTTGCAAAGTCTAGAGATCAATGAAATGAGTTATCGAATCATCTCTGGCGGCTATCACTCGGCGGAGTAGAAAAATGACGACTTTGCAGATCTCCAGTGGCTGTCACCTGACGAAGAGGAGTTGGATGGAGGTGGGGAGCATGTTAGGGAGCTTCATCCTCAGGTCCACACAACAAGAGAACGCTCTTCATCGCATTTGATACACTCTTAGGAGGTGACAACTCATCTTTCGGTGGATCATCCTCTTCCTGACGACGGCTTGTTCGTCGATCAATCGGAGATGATTTACTTGATAGATTCGCAATCCTTTTATCGTGAATCATTTAGTAATTTTAGTAACAATGCTCCACAAATCACATTGATGAAATTTTTACCAATGATTCAGTGATTTTGGCAACTTAATCCTTCACCGGCGATCTGCAAAAAAGTTGCGATAATCAGATAAAAATACAAGTTTTGGCTCTAAGAGGATTCAAACCTATGCCAGTTGTCTGCCTACATGAGAGAGATTGAAATAAGTACTCTAATGCCCTTATTAAGTGATGTCATCATGGTATACCTCGGTTATAACTAAGGAGTAGTTTAGGTATTAAAATTTTCAAAGCCTTTCGGAGGGTTTAATCCCACATCACTTATGCACCGAAGTTTTGGGTGAATATATAGTAATATCACATTTCTAAGCAATGAGTATCTTTCTCCCACATGTACGACCACTCCTTGCCCCACTACTAGCTGGCCACTAGTGACGTGGAAGGGAAGTGGCGCACACATGCCCCCATCGGTCCTTAGCAACTCGAGCCCCTGCTCATGGCTCCCCGACTACGCTTCTGACCCGCTTGTGGGCCCAGCTGGTCGACAGGTCCCCCTCTTTTGTTATATTTTTATTTTAATTTTTTTTTCTTTATTTATCTCAAAAATAGGACTATAAAAATCATATAAATTCATAAAAAACATATAATTAGTCTAAAAAATTACATTAATCAAAGGAAAACCACTTTTCACAATTTAACACAAATATAAGTCTATTTCTCATGAGTTAAGGCTAAAACTATATTATTTACTAATTATTAACTCATGATAATGAAGACTTATCATAAAGTTAAACACTTGGTTACATACTCATGAACTACTTTTATTCCAACTAAGGTTAGAGTAAGTCTACTAGAGATAATATATATAGCACATATGTCATTAGAGAACTGCAGTGACCTCAATATCTATTGTCATAATTAACTTTGAGAAGAAAAAACTGATTGACAATTTTTAGAAAAGATTAAACACCCTCAATACAAAAGAAGGCCCCAGTAGATATGTCATTTATGTAGATGTCTTCAGTGTTTTACACACTAGCATGTTTTGACACATACAATAGAAAATTTATATATGAATTATTCTTGAATCATTTAAAATATAATTCATCTATAGACATCACAATTGTTTTCATCATGAGATAAATATTATTGATAAACATTTAAATTACATACAATAATAATAATATTGTGTAATCCTATAGCTAACAATAAAATTGAGTCACACCCTTAAATTATTTAAATATAAATATAACATAATGTGTCAACACATGATGAAACCTCATGTATTTTATAAAGTCAAAGTTGGAATAAGCAAAATCCAAACACATGACTTGAATCATGCGAAGAAAAGAACGTAGATGTAAAAAATATCTAACAAATCAAAAATGCATAAAGATAGACATGCAATTCAAACTCAAGAAGTAAGTTTTCTGAAATGTTCAAACTTCAGAATTGGTAAAATTTGAAATCAAAAGTACTATAGTGTTAATGCTTTATTTTTAGTTCTTAGTTTGTTTCATTTAAGTAGCATGGTTTTAAAATTTATAGAAGAAAATATGATTTTATATAGTTAATTTTGAAAGCTAGAAGTTAAAAGAGTTAATGTATTTCATTGTTAAAGATAATAAAAATAATAAATATATATAATATATTTATTTTAATATTAATATTTTATTTTATTTTATAATAATGGGCTGTAGACAATCATCCCTGAGGCCCATGGCTTGTGCCTAGATTGACTTCTTGTTGGCATGATAATGAAGCGTCATAATATACATGAGATATTGCCACCAATAAATCTGATGTGAGAGTAATGATTATTTGTGTTTCAAGGCACCGGTTTGTGATAGGTAGATCTCATGGCGCTCAGCACACCACATCACTAGAAAAGGTGAATCATGCAGTGAGTGAAGCACCATGATATCTGAAATGTTAAGCATTCAATCAATGGTCCATCAATCCTATGTTACTCAACACCCCATATGACAAGAGATGATTGATTCAGTGACAAGTAAAGCGTCATGATACTAAGAACTTATGTTCTCGCACTTATCAATGTCAGGGAAATAGAGATAATTCTCGATTATTATCTTGTAAAATAGACATTATCAATTATCATTAAAATCCTATCAGTAGTCATAAAGATAATATTTATTATTTCCTCTTTTTGTACAATAAAAGCTTTCACCAATCGACAAGCTCATTCCTTCTTTGACTACACTCAAGGCCTCCGATGAGTGGTCAGCTCTTTCCTTCCTCCTCTAGATAATAGTGATAACATGGTCAATCATTCTTTTCAATGGATCTTTCTAACAAATAATGTAATACTTCTACGACTTTCCACAGTCTGGCACAATCTAAAAAAATCAAGCTGCCACACCGATATCTCCAATTGCCCAACACACAAACAAAATTTGACTAATAATTTATTTCCTATTTTTAGTATTTATTTATATATTTACAACAAGTTATTTCTATTTCCTACATATTTCAATTAAAATGTATAGAACTGATTCAAATTCTAATCAATGATTTTTTTCCTTTTCTAAATCTTTTAAAACTTGTTTAAGATCAAGCTGAAATTATGTTCAACTTATTTTCTATTGATTTTCATGATCAAATCTCCAAGTAAATGTGATTTCAGCATTCTAAAAATAACGATTATTTTTTATTTAAGACATAAAATCAATGATATTAAAGGCTGACTTAATGAGCATTGAAGTGTTAAAATAAGGTGAAAACATTCATGGCTAACCTCATGTCATGTGTGTGGATTGTCAAACATACGTTCATTTGATAAATGTGGTCAACTCGAGTTAGGTGTGAAATTAAATCACTATATGATCATTTGTATTCTCTCTCCCTCTCTCTCGTAAGACCTCTCTCTCTCTCTCTCTCTCTCTCTCTCTCTCTCTTCCTCCTTTCCTTCTCTACTCTCTTTATTCTTCTCACCTCACACTTATATTTTATTCTTTTTTTTAAATAGTAATAAAATATTAAAATCACTCTACATATAACTTAAATTAATTTTTTATGATGGATTAATCAATC